TGAGGATGGGGAATGAGAAGGATCCGGGGTAGGCATGGAGTGACATGGTGGCGGTGGGAGCTCAAGAGAGATGCAAACCTGGGTAAGATGTGGGCTTGACCTCAATATATAAACTGTGGAGGAGACCCAACTATGCAGGCTGTCCATAAGTGTTATAATGGTGGCGGGGGAAGGCATAAACAAAATCCTCTGCGTACACAGGAGAGAGAGACATAAATTCTGTCTGGAATTGCTGGAGAAGACTTCATACAGAATGTAACATCTGAGCTAACTCTTGAAGGATGGGGAGTAGGCCCCAGACAAACAGAGAAGGAAGGCAGGAAAGCCATGAGGTGACAGCGGTCTACGGCCTAACCTGAGAGTGAGCTACACATGTTGGGGTGGGTAGGAACTGTGGCAGGAAAAGCGAAGAACCTTGAATGCCCTCTTAAGACTGTAGATTTTCTATGGGCAATGGGAGTCACTGAAGATTTTTGAGCAGAGGAGTGGCGTCGTTTGGTCTTTTGATTTTCCAGGGGTGGCCCCTTTGGTGTGTGTGGTCATTTGGCAGCGTCGGCCATATTATGTGGTGCAAGACTGTGCTTTTATTTTTCCTTTCCAGGGGAGCCCTCTCAAGGAAAAGAAACTTATTGTGCATTTATCCCCTTTTGTCCAGTCTTAGTTTGATCCTCTGTTTGCCATTTCCCCTCTCTTCCCTTTGATGTTCTTGGCAAGGGAAGAGTTACGCCATTGATATCTTCCTATTGACATCTGTGTCAGGTATTTGATTCCTAATACCACATGATTATTCTTTTTGATGAATCAATGGGCGAGGGAATAAGTTACTCTCACTGTCCATGGGTTGGAAACCCAGGAAAGTTTAGGAATAACAGAGTTGAAGAAAGCAGCACATAGACAGAGAGGTGGGGCGTGCATCGGAGCAGAGGACAGCTCACCGTGGTCGGAGGAGGTCTCAAAATAGAAGGTGCTTCTCTTGGGATTCACACCACAGGCCTTGGCAGGCAGCCCACCCTTATCGTCATTAATTTCCTGAGTTCAGAATTGGGCACCACATCCTGGTGTTAAGCTGTTAACCTCCAGCATCAAGGCCACAGTCGCTGGGGAGAATTCCTTTCTCAAGCTGTGGCCTCGTCAGAGTTGTCCTCTGAACATGCCACAAAGGGTGAATATTCCATCCAGTCCCACGATTCTGGAATTCTATGTATACTATGTACCTCCCACGCCTTTCCTCCAGGACACGCACACACAGAGCAAAGCCTTCCTGTAGTGGGCAATGATGCTGCAATTGCAAAGTATGTATATGTATGTGTAGGTGTAGGTGTATGTATATTTGTAAAAACAGAAGTACATGCATACGTGTATGTGTGCGTGTGCGTGCGCATGTGTACAAGGGCATGCGTGTGCATGCGCACACAAAAAAATGTAAGCTTTCAATGCATAGAACACGACTTTCCTTTCAGACCTTTTTTTCTTCTATTGCCTGAAAGTATAAAACCTGAAATAATGTGGATAGTTTGAGGAAATCAAGGATGTTTCTAGAGCCTGGTTTTTCATAGGCTCTAGAAACAGAGCTCTGTCGGCTCTAGGTTTCGAGACCGGTTACAGTTCTCAGATCCAGGAGTTCTTTAGACTTCACCCAGTTTTCCTTGCTATGTACTATGAAATTACAGCCATGCCATCAGTAGAGGGCTCCCTCAACCTTAGAAGCTGGTGAGAACGCTTGAAGGCCACGCAATGTAAACGCGAGAAAAATGCGGATCTGACTGTGAATTTAAAATCCAATGCCCCAAAGTACTTTTGTAGGGAAGAAACCCTAACCCATCCTGAAAACAGATCATTTCAGCAAGAAGGTATTTGTAGTGTTTACACTACATGACACTGTTTAAATTCCTGGATCAAGGTCAGCATAATGTTTATGCTTAGAGTTACACATAGCTAAGTTATTCTTCAAAGAACGCAAGAAGCAGGGCAACTCCCTGACCAATGGTTTAATTGTTTCTGGACGCGTCACTCGTGTTCCTAAACTCAGGGGTTCCTAACTATCCAATCACAGAACCATCAGTCACCTTCAGTCCCAGACCTGGGCCAAAGCTTTGCAGATGTCAGATCTTGGTTTGGCATTTATCCAGATTTGTGCCGGCTAAACGTCGAGTGTCTGGCTGATAAAGCACCATGTCCATGTGTTGAATGCCACTGTCTGCTCAGGTGATTGCAGCTGGCCAGCTGCTCTGTGTTAACATTGAGAAGACTGTGTGGTGGATATGCAGGCAGGGGAAGGAAGCTGGACACTGCTGAATCAGTATTTATCTATTGGTTGATATCTCTCTTTTTGATAATTTTTGAGACAGGGTCTTACTCCTTCACCCAGGATTGTGCAGTGGCACAATCCCGGCTCACTGCAGCCTCCACCTCCTGGGCTCAAGCAGTCCTCTTGCCTCAGCCTCTCGAGTAGCTGGGCCTACAGGTGCATGCCACCACATCTAGCTAAGTTTTTGAATTTTTGCAGAGATGTGGTTTTGCCATGTTGCCCAGGCTGGTCTCGAATTCCTGGGCTCAAGCCATCCTCCCACCTCGGCCTCCCAAAGTGCATGAGCCACTGCACCTGGCCTAAAGTTAGTATCTCGTGAGAGTATTCTGATTTTCCACTCTGAAGACAAAGTGGTCTAGGATCCAAAAGCACGTGTAAGTCAGAATAGGAGTGTTCTTTCCCTCGAAATGTGCTAGATAACCACTGTCCCGGTTTTAGGATTGAACTCTTTTCCTTCTCAGCTCTAGATAGCCAAGCACACTCCATTATTATAACATCATCTGAGACATATTACAATGAATGATGCCACCACTTGCTTGGCCTCGCGGATGTGTCCCTGAGGAAACTGCAGGAGCACGTCCCAAATTCCTTGACTACATTTGGGAGGTATCTTGCGCTTTTAATTGGGGGTGGTAAGGAGACACCTGGGCGGTGGGTGAGGTTTCCTGACGTTTTCAAATTCTGGGGAAAAGGAGACACCATACTGTGACCAGAATCTACCTCTGACCCGTCTGCTATCAAAATGTATCAACCACAGCAACAAAGCCAAAGAACCACCTGCAGACTGGGGCGTGGAAGGGCTTGGGGACTGGAGGGAAAGCGGAGTTCGTGAGGTCAGGGTCCGTCATTGTGAACTGGATAGGTTTCCAAGAAGCAGCACGAGTCCTCTTGGTGATAGAAAGGTAAATGCACACAAGTAGAAGCCTTGGGGAAGCCACTCCAGCCCACTGCAGTGGGAAACTTAGTGATTTCTGTTTGTCCTGGCTTCCTCCATTCAGATGTTTCTCATCAGTTACGTTCAGATTGATTCCATTTGCAAAACTCTCCTGGCAGTCTCGGCGGAGCAGGCTTGGTGGCAAAATCTCTGGCATTTTCTGATCCTGTCCAGGCTCTGCTCTTCTTGTGTAGTTTCTTGGCGCTTTGGCTCCCAAGCAGAAACTGGCTAAACAGAGGCTGCTGCTGAACAAAGCCAAATGTAAAACAGAACATTGGAACGCCAAGCGGAGTGGTTTTGCTAAATGTGGGGACTGGGAATGGGCAGAGGACAGTGAGGGATCAGGAAAGGGAGGGACCTCCTTAGAATCGGGCTGAATTATGCCCTGGTGAAAGTCTGTCACGGCCCCATCATGTCTGCATCCTCACTCATTGTGCAAGATCAAAGGTTGCATCCTCTCACTCTCCAGTCTCACTAATGAACACAATATTTGGGTTGCACCCATTTCCTGGTCATGAAAGTGTATGATCCTCGAGGCCCTGACACCTCTCTTCCTTCTCATTATCCATCAGCGCCCCCTCGCAGTCTCTTGTCAGTTTCCTTCTCGGCATCCCCCTCCCCAGCCGCACTGTTCCACACCTGCCCCATCTTTCCCTTGTCCACTTGATGCTAACATTTCCTGTACTGTTCTGGAGGGTCCTCATCCTCCCTCTCTTTACACTGCCGCAGCAGGGCAAGGAGGTCCAGTTGGAGAAACTGCCAGTTCCTCTCTTCCACTGTAAGGAGTGGGAGAAGGATGCTGCTGTCACGGCCCCTTGGTTCTCTTTTGCAGGGGCTGGCAGCACGCGTTCTGTTACTCTGGCCCTTCATCTTGCTGTCTGGATTTAACTTCCCCACGAGCAGGTCACACAGTCTGAGCTTCCAGTGGATACCTTAAAACCAGGGAGCCCACTGGTTTTAAGTCCAAGATGTTTATGGAGTTCAATAAAGTGGATTCACGCACACATGCACAGGCACATGCATGCACACAGTAACACAGTCTTATGGTCACACAGTTCAAAATTCAAAAGGTGCAAAGAGGCAGAGAGTGAATGGTCTCCCCTTTGTTTTTCCCTAGCTTCCTAGTTCTCCTCAGCAGAGGCACCTGTGTTTAAGCATCTCTTCTTCTGGGCGTGTTTTATACACATTCACACAAATATGTACTTACACTCACATATTTCTTCCACAATCGGTAGCATACCATAGCTATGGTTCAACACCTTGCTGTTTTGCACTTTTAAAAATGGCTGCATAGTATTTTTTTTCTTTTTTTGAGATGGAGTTTTGCTCTTGTTGCCCAGGTTGAAGTGCAATGGTGCAATCTTGGCTCACTGCAACCTCCACCTCCGGGTTCAGGAAAATCAAGAGATTCTCCTGCCTCAGCCTTCCCAGTAGCTGGGATTACAGGTGCACGCCACCATGCCCAGCTAATTTTTTTTGTAGTTTTAGTAGAGTTGGGGTTTCACCATGTTGGCCTGGCTGGTCTTGAACTCCTGACCTCAGATGATCCACTCACCTTGGCCTCCCAAAGTGCTGGGATTACAGGCGTGAGCCACTGCGCCCGGCCATGGCTGCATAGTATTTTTTTTGTTGAGTGAATTTCCGTAATTTATCTAACTAGTCCCGTACAGATGGGCATCAGGTTGTTTCCAATCTTTTGCTATTATAAAAAATAAAGCTGACATTTTGATCCGCACATCTTGTGTTTATTTCCCAAAGGCTCAGGACTCAGAGGAGAGAGGAGTGTGGTCTACACTTCACATCTCTGCCAAGCCTGGCACTGGATTTGAAGTTCCACACCACTGAGCCAAACACATCCAGGTCTGCTTTTTTGTTCCCCTTAATTCCCTCCAACTTGCCAGCATACACAGAATTTATGCTACCAATTTTGGTGTTCACTAAATTAGGTAATTTTATGCTTTTCTTTATCTTTCTCTGCCTCGACTCTCTTCCAACCCGGGGATCTGGTGGTAAGCAAAATGATATTCCAGCAAGTGATGCCCCTAATCTCCTAAGGATATAAGGTATTGAATTTCCTACATTCATGTAGTGTGTTGTAATTTGCAAACCACCATCACATAGCATTCTTTCACTTGATTTTTGCACACATTTTTGAGGTTGGTGGGACATCTTCTAGATGAAGAAACTGAGGCTCAGAGGAACTGATTTGCCCAAGGTCACCAAATTGGTGAATGGCAAAGACAAAACTCAAAATCAGTCCATCTAACTCTCTGCCTGCTGCTCTTCTAATATGTGCTGACCCTTTAGCACACATATGGCATCAAAGTCCGCTCTCAATTTGCAATATAGTGGGAGGCTGAAGTTCTAGCAAATTCCCCTCCAGATTTTATTTTCATCACCAGACAGAGTGAGGCTATTGGGAATTATGGACCAATATATCCATAGTGAGCCACTGGGATAGTGCACAACCTAATCAGGGCAATGCCAGTTGTCCAGGGAGCAGGAGAAAGTGTGCTGGAGAGGAGGGCCAGGGCTGGAAGCCTCTGACCCAAAAGCACATGCTTGATGTGGAGGCCAAGGCATAGGTTTACAAGCCGGGCAACAGGGAGAGGGGAAAGGAATGCACATTTACAGAGTCCACTATGGGCCGTGCTGACCCATTAATCACTCCCAGAACTTGGGAAGGACACTCACAGAGATAGGCCAAGGCTGTGCCGGTTCACACCAGGTCTTGTGCTGCTCTGCCCAGCAGATGGGGGACATTCTCAAGGGTGGGCAAGGGGCTTCATAAGTGGTGATGCTCAGTGCTGAGGGATAGGTTCTGGGCTCATCTCAGAGCAGCCTCTTCTCTCCAGAGGCTCAGGTCTAGCTCCGTGTGTGTGTGGCTCTGCCCTTTGTCAGAACGAGGTTTCTTTTCAGCAGCTTCTCAGCTCTGGGAGCACATGTTTCTGGCAGTTTTCTGCATCTGTTCACTCTGATGCTTGGATGTACTACTCAGGCTGCAGAGAGCATGCTTCGAGGGAGCTGTGGATGAGGTTCAGCGGTGCCAGTGCTGCAGACAGCAGAGCAGACCCCTGGGAGGCAGGGGCTATTGAACAGGCGTGAACTCTGGGCACGCTCCTGAAAGAGAAAACCATACTTTCCAGGGGCATTGCTGAGTAACCCCAGGGTATCCCGGGGCTGGGTTATCACAGGCCCAGATGCTGAGCTGAGGACTTTAGAACTTCTTCTATAGGCAGGGGAATTATTGAAAACCCTTGAGGAAAGAAGTGACAAGATTAGACATACATTTTAGAAACACTTCTCTGTCAGTGATTCACTCATTTTTTCTTGGAACACTGAGATCATTAGCTATGGACTGATTTGTGTCTCCCCAAAATTCATATGTTGAAGCCCTGACTCCCAATGTGACAGTATTTGCAGCTGGGGCCTTTGGGAGATAATTAGGTTTAATGAGGTCCTGAGGGTGGGGCCCTTGGGATGAGATTAGTGCCCTTCTAAGAAGAAACTACAGAGATCTCCCTATCTCTTGTCCACACACATGCATGGAGGAAAGGCCGTGTGAGCACACAGTGAGAAGGTGGCCATCTGCAGTCCAGGAAGAGAGCGCTCACCAGAACTCAGCCATACAGACTCCCTAAGCTCAAACTTTCAGCCCCCAGAACTGTGAAAATACATTTCTGTTGTTTAGGCCATGCAGTCGGTGGCATTTTGTTACAGCAGCCCAAGCTAACAGAGACAATGCATTACCACATGGCCAACACTAGGTTGGCTCCAAATATCCAGCAGTGAACAAAAAGTCTTTGCCCTCATGGAGCTAGCAGTCTAGTGGGGTGCAGGGGGAAGCATTAAATGAACAGTAGTAATCCCAACACTCTGGGAGGATGAGGCGGGTGCATCACCTGAGGTCAGGAGTTTGAGACCAGCTTGGCCAACATGGCGAAACCCTGTCCCTACTAAAAATACAAAAATTAGCCAGGGGTGCTGGCACGTGCCTGTAATCCCAGCTACACGAGAGGCTGAGGCAGGAGAATCACTTGAACCCGGGAGACACAGGTTGCAGTGACCCAAGGCTGCATCATTGCACTCTAGCCTGGGCAACAAGAACAAAACTCTATCTCAAAACAAACAAACAAACAAACAAACAAACAAACAAACAGAACAGTCGACATGAGATACGCAGAATTGTTAATTATGAGAGTTAAAGGGACCTCATTTAGATTGGAGGAGATAGGAGAGGACTTTCTTAGGCTGAGACCGTCAACTTGAGACCCTAAGGATGAGTTGGGAAAGCCAGGGGAAGCGGGGGAGAGAGCATCATAGGCTTGGGACTGGCATGTGGGAATCTGCTAAGTGAGAAAGGGCTTGGTGAGCAAGTGACAAAAGAAAGTGTCACCAGAGGGATAGAGTGGCGTAAAACGACTGGGAGCTAGTAGGTGGCAGTCCACAGAGGAACTTGTAGGACTTGTTAAGAGGTTTGGATTTTTAAAAAAAATTCTTAGTGCATTTGGAAACCATTAAAGGGTTTCAAAGCGTTTTCAATGGAGAAGTGAAATGATCCAATTTTCTTTTCTTTTTTTTTTTTTTTTGAGACAGAGTCTCACTCTGTCAGCCAGGCTGGAGTGCAGCGGCATGATCCCAGCTCACTGCAACCTCCGCCTCCCTGGCTCACGCAATTCTCCTGCCTCAGCCTCCCAAGTAGCTGTGATTACAGGCATGCGCCACCATTCCTGGCTAATTTTTGTATTTTTAGTAGAGAGGGGGTTTTACCATGTTGGCCAGTCTGGTCTCGAACTGCCGACCTCAGGTAATCTGCCTGCCTCGGCCTCCCAAAGTGCTGGGATTACAGGTGTGAGCCATCACGCCTGGTCCCAATTTTCATGTTTAAAAGATCACTGAGTAATGTGAGGATGGGATTAGAGGGAATGTGAAGTGAAATGGGAGAGGGCCGTTGAAGCCATGCTGGGTGAGAGGATGGAGAGCCCCCATGAAAACAGCAGCAATGGAGACGGAGAGAGGAGTTTGCAGTTGAGTGCCAGTGGATAGGAGGGGTGGAGAAGAGGGGGAAACAGAAGATAGGTCCTGGCCAGGCACAGTGGCTCATGCCTGAAATCCTAGCACTTTGGAAGGCTGAGGCAGGAGCATCACTTGAGCCTAGGAGTTGCAGTAAGGTATGATTGCACCACCACACTTCGGCCTAGGTGACAGAGCAAAGACTCTGTCTCTAAAAAAAAAAAAAAAAAAAGAAGATAGGTTATAGGTGTAACAGCTGGGAGGAAGAGAGTGAGTTTGACTTTGAGCAAATTGAGTCAGGTGGGCAGTTGGAAACATACTGAGCCTGTGCAGAAAGGAGTTATCACAGCAGGCCTGACACTGCTGTTCATAGAAACACCTGTCTGCAAGGTTGGCCCTTGGCTGGTGTCTGGGAACTTGGCTCTCAGAGCATCCCTAGTTAACCGTTAACTGATAAGGTGATTCCCCATGGCTAGACTGTCTGTGCAGACAACACAATTTATGCCAAACACCTACTTTCCATCTTGAGAGTCTAGAATTTTGCTAGGCAGAGAGTGCCAATGTGACCAGCCCCCAGTTAAGACCTTTGGGCACTGTCTCTACCGGGCTTCCCTGCACAGAAATGTCACACGTGTGTTGCTGCATTTTTGTGGAGGGACAGTGGGCTCTGTGGGACCCTGGTGGGACGGAAAGAGCATAAGGAAGTCTCGCATGGGTTCCTCTAGACCCTGTCTGTGCCTTGACCCCTTATGATCCAGCCGTGTGTCCCCACCACAGCAAAAGGATAAAGCCTCACCATGAGCCCAGCTGTGTGCTGAGTCCCAGGAGCCCTTCCAGGGAACCTCCAAACATGAGGTGGGCATGGGGCCCCTGACACACAGCCTCTGGATTTAAATTTGGGAGTAATCAGCAGATAGGAAAAAATGGAAACCATGGGGGTGGATGGGATCAGCCAGGAAGAGTGAACAGAACCCAGAGGAACTCAACAACTTAGGGATAAGCAGAGGGAGAGGGCATGCAGAGGAGGCCGGGATGCAGGCACAGGATTGAGGCAGGTCTGTCGGACTTAGCACAAGGTCATCGATGACCTTGGCAACACAGACCCGTAGGCAGTGGTGTGGGGAGCTGACATGTTAGGGCGTGAAGAAGGGAGCGGTTCTCTCAAGTATGACTGTGGAAGGTGCACAGAGGTATCAGAGAGAAATATGGGGAAGTGGAAACATTTTTTAAAGGGGAAAGGGAACATGATCATTTTTTTTCTCTTCCTGCCTTATGGCAGGCTCTCAGCTAGACACGTGTCGTGCAAATGAAGACGAGATGTGGCCTGGGACTCACAGTGTATGGTCCAGCAGCAAAGATAGAAGGAGCCCAGGGTGCTGAGTATTTGAAAAGTGAAGTGCAGGCAGGACATGCTGGCTCATGCCTATAATCCCAGGACTTTGGGAGGCCGAGGCGGGAGGATCACTTGAGGTCAGGAGTTCGAGACCAGCCTGGCCAACATGGTGAAACCTCATCTCTACTAAAAATACAAAAATTAGCCGGGTATGGTGTTAGGAGCTTGTAATCCCAGCTACTCAGGAGGCTGAGGCAGGAGGATCACTTCAGCCTAGGAGGCGGAGGTTGCAGTGAGCTGAGATCGTGCCACTGCATTTCAGCCTAGGCAACAGAGCGAGACTCCATCTCAAAAAAAAAAAAAAAAAAAAAAGCTAAGTGCACAGCAACATGAGGGTGCTTAACCTAACCTGAGGGTTTCTTTGAGGGCATGACCTTTAATCTGTGACCTGAAGAATAAGTAGGAGTGTGTTAAAGTGGGGAGAGAAGAAAGAGGAAAAGGAACATTTCCGGAAGAGGAAAGAGTATATGTGATGTTTGCAGAGAGAAGCTGTGTGCTTTGGAAGAGCAGGAGCTCAGGGAGCGAGGGGAGAGCGGAGAGACATGACTGTGAAATGCGGGAGTGAGAAGACGCAGCACCTGCGAACACTGACGGGGAGCTGTCAGCAGACAGGGAGGGGCTGAGTCTTTGGGAAGGGAGGGATTGTGGAGGGGCTGAGTGCCTTGAGAGGGTGGAGGGCTGCAGTATTGAGAAGGGATTAGTTTTGACAGTGGGAAAATACCTCATCATGTAACAGAAACAGAAGGAGAAAGGATAGATTTTTAAAAGGATGGATATACAGATGGTTCTCAATTTATGATGGTTCAGCTTACAATCAATTGTTTGACTGTTTGATGGGTTTATCCCAGTGTAACCTGATTGTAAGTGGAGGAGCGTCTGGGCTTAGGACAATTCAACTTACACATTTTTGACTTCACAATGGATTTATTGGGATATTAAACACATTTTAGTCTTATGATATTTTTGACGTACGATGGGTTTATCGGGGATGTAACTCCGCACAAATCAAGGCGCATCTGTAGCTACAAGCAAGACTTCAGGATTGGCGATAAGAAATGAACAGGGTTTTTTAAATGATGATTTCATTTTCTTGTGGTTTTTTTTTTTTTCCTCACCCTGTCCTGCTTCCTGAGATCTGGCGCATTTGTAGGCTAGGCTTTTGGTAATGTAGCTCCAGATGGAGGAGAGGGAGACATGTTTTCACATCCTTACACACCAGAGACAGGCTAGCAGGAGGCCACAGTTAGCACTGCGCAAAGCCTGCTCTCTTAGGTATGCTGTCCTTGGTCCTGTCCCTGTGAGGGCTTTCCCCCTTCCCCTCACCCACCTTTGGGATCTGAAGAGCCATCTCCATCTAACAGTGGAGCTAGAAAGAACTGAGGGAGTGACAGACCATGTCAGGGCCATGCGCAGGACTCCGAGCAGTGGTGGAAACTGAGGGGCCAACAAGGAAGATGAGGTAGAGAAGCCGGGTCACGAGGGAGCCTGGGCGCGTATTTATTTATTTATTTACCTTTGAGAAGGGGTCTGGCTCTGTCGCCCAGGCTGAAGTGCAGTGGTAGGATCACGGCTCACCGCAGCCTCGACCTCCCCAGCCTCAGGTGATCCTCCCACCTCAGCCTCCTGGGTAGCTGGAACAGCTCTGGCTAAGTTTTTTATATTTTTTGTAGAAACGAGGTCTCACCATGTTGTCCAGGCTGGTCTCAAACTCTTGGCCTTAAGTGATTTACCTGCCTCAGCCTCCCCAAATGCTGAGATTCCAGGCATGAGTCACTGCGCCTGGCATTTTTTTTTTTTTTTTTAGACCTAGGTGTTTAAACCTGATGATGTGCTGTGCCCTTCAGAGAGCTGGAGGATTAATTTAATCAGGGGGAGGAGTTATCTTCTGAGTCTTCATTCCCCTATGGATTTGGCAGAGATTGGAACATGCCTGTTGAATCCAAAATAAGGGAGAGTTATAATATTCCTCTAGATTCGTGTCTATACGTGGCCTGTAAACGGTGAGCTGGCGTCCCCTCTCCCTTCCATGATAAGAGATACGGTACTGGGCGCCACTTAGCAGTGGAGGTGAATTTGTTTACTCACAGTGAAGCGTAGCAGGGCGATGACCTGGAGGAGCATGGGAAGCGCAGAATAGTTCTGTGGATGACCAGTGGTAAAGCTGAGAGGGGAGTCTGCTTGGGTTCCTGGACAGTTTCCATCAAGCGCTGTAACTTTATGGTGGCACCAGTGTGTTCAGGGCTGGGATTCCCCTGGGGTGTGGATCTGCTTGCTAGCAGGATGACATGAGAGGTGTGGAGAGGGGAATGGGTGCAGTGTGAGGCTCTGCCTGCTGAGCAGCACAGAGAGTCAGTGGGGCAAGGGCACTGAGAACACTGGCAAGATTGAGGTGGAGATGCTGAACGTGGAGTCCAAGCAGCTCAGGGAAAGAGCTGGAGACAGAGGAGCAGGAAAGACGGATGGGGGAAGGACATGTGTGGGGGTGGTCAGGGCATGGGGAAGGATGCACTTATGAGAAAGATCTGGGCAGATGGGAGGTTGTGGTTGGGGAGGAGGAGATTTGATGTAGGACTTCAGAGGTGGAGCAGTTCTGAGTAATGAGCAGCTTCAGGATGTGGCCTCAGGGCAACCTCGTTGAGCCTTGTCACCAGTGGGACCCTCTCTTCCATCCCGTGTCCACATGGCCTCTCTCCTGGCAGCCTCTGAGGCACCTCCCCTCCTAGCTACCCTTTTCCTATTTTCTGGTCCAGCAAGAGGAACTCACAGCATCTTTTCTTACTTCCGGAGAAATTCATTCCACATGTGTCTGATTCATTCTCGTTTACAGAAACTTGAAATCTCCAGTGTCCAAAAACGCTTTCAACTATTTTTTTTTTCTTCCCTTTCTTAGAAACAGGAAGTTGTGTTTGGCTACGGACAAACTATTTCAGGGCCCCTGGGACTTACAAGATGTTTGGAATGAGGAACGGTGAGGTCTGGGGAAAGCTTCTTTCCTCTCTCCTTTCCTGGGGCGATTCGCATCTGCCAGGCTGGGCTGGGCAGCTCTAGGGGCTGGAAGGACAGCCGGAACCTTCCTGTCTCTTTCCACTGAGCCCTAGGCCTGAGGGAAAGTATGTTCTAAAGAGACAGGTGGCTTTCTCGCTCCCTGCTTGTCATTACGGTTCAGAATGCACTTGTGCACTGGTGTCATGTCTCTTCCCAATACTTGAGCAGTGGCTGTGGCGAGTCCCTTGATCTATTTCGGGAGATGTGGGCTGGCCGGCACTCAGTTTTAAGCAAGGCCTGCTCTTTCCAAAGTGGAAGGTCAGAGAAGCTCCCCACCTGAAGAAGAACGAGCCAGGGAGGTGTGGTACCAGCTGTTTAGGACCACACCTATTGGCTACGTCTGGCCAGGTCATTCTGACGTGTTGACCTGGAGAGCACACAGGGGCTTAGGAGGGGCTGGCGAGGGGCAGGGAAAGTGTGGGAGTCACAGCCCACCCACTCCGTTCGCGGGACACTCCAGCTTTTACTGTTGCTTGTTGTGTTACCCTGTATTGTTGAGAACGTTGTCATACATACAGTCAATACAACCACAGTATTGTTGCATTAGTGATCACCGACATTGAGCCAATGAAGACATTGGCTTAGATGGCTGACTTCTTTCCCACATTCCACATGCAGCTCTCCCGACGGTGAGCTCAGCGGAGGCCCCCAGAGAAACATGCTATGCGGGAGGAGAGTTTTCCCCATAAGACAGACCGTCCTTCAGCCCCGGCCACCAAAGAGGAGCAACCCGGGCCTGCTGTTCTCCGGGACTGAATGCGGCTGCATCCTTCCCTTCCTCTGCTTCCTGCTCCAGTACCTACTGAAAGTGCACACGTGGGGCCTGGGGAAGCTGGGTATCTAACCCACAGTGCAGCTACAGATGGGAAATTCTGGGCAGGGACGAGCCTGTCTTCCCCCGGGGAATTCCCTCCCATATTGCACAGGGCAGAGTGGGAGTGGAGGAGGGCAGAGGACATGTCTCAGGGCCAGTAACCTAGGCTTACAGAAGACGTCATCACTGTCCTCATGACGTTCACCCTGTCTCCTGTTTTTTGGGGCCGTGTATTCCGAAATGTATTTTCAACTCATCATAGGGGCAAAAAGAAGTGATGAGTCTGTGGCAGCAGAAATCTGGGAATCCAAGGGTCATGCTACATCTAGTCCTCTTCGGTAAATTCTGCCTTCCTGTTCACACTTTCTGAGAAACCATTTTGAATTCCCAAACAGCAAAGGAAATGCTGCAGGTTCCTGGAGGGACCTGGTGATCTGGGGCAGAGCACACGGAGTCGAGATTGCTGCGGGGTTCACGGGCCTCCCCTCCCGGGACCAGGGGCACCTGGGCAGGGGAGTCTGCACCATGTGGGAAAGCCCAGTACACGCAGCTGCTCACCACTGCAGACTCCACAGTGCAGGGCTGACAAGGCCTCCCTCTTTATCTGCCCTGGACCACAAGTGGAAAAGATGAAGACAAAGCAAAAGCCAATATCCCTTAAGAACTTTCCAATTGTTCTTGTCATTTGTCGTTTTGTGTTTTGGGGGGTGTGGGGAGGGAGGGGTGGTTTGAAACAGCTCCGAAGTGCACTCCAGAGGAAAGCAGGAAGGGTGACATGTGTGGACACCTGAAAAGAGGAAGGGTCCTCATGAAGAGGGTCACTTGGTTAAAAAGTTCAAGCACAGAGAATATAGAACCGGTGGATATAATCAGAGAACAAGATGCAGATCTAGCGAGATGGGTCCCACCACCCCTGGAATATGTTCCTGGCAGAGGGGCTGGTCGGCTACAGTGGGCTGGGAATGGTAATATTGTATACTTTTGTAAATTCACGAAACCCTCTGGTCAGCAACAGAGGAATAAAGGGCAGAGAATAAACCCCAGACAAAGATTCACTTATCTTAAAAATGAAAGGTTGGAAATTAACTTTATGCTACTGTACCACCTTCGAAGTATTTCTGGCAGGTGCCTGGAGGATTCAGATTAATCACCAAATTACCTGCCGAGTCAGGGCCTCCCATTAGAAGGGCGTACCAGTTTCCATTAGGAGCACTAGCCGGAAAATACAGTCTTTCAGCAGAGGACATACGGTCCTCTTTCCTTCTCTGGGTTAACGGAGTGGTCGTGGTTGGCTGGGGCAGATAATGGTGTGGTCTTCCTCTGCGGATCTGTTTTCTGAGTCCCTGGGCTGCAGCTGTTGAATTTCCAGACACAAACAAGTATGCATTCTGAGAGCCTCGCCGAGCCCACACAGCCGGGAGAGCCAAGCTGGATTCCATTCTGCTTTGTACATCAGCAGCTCTGCTGCCAGCTGAACTCCAGGGCAAAAGCTGTGCCTGGTAATGATGCAGGCAGCAGGGATGGCACAGCTGGCCTGGCCTAGGCCATTAGGGGGACACACTTGGCCTTATTTGGGGGAGAGCGAGAAATGGAAGGCCATGAAGAGATGTGGAAACATACATCAGCCTCCACAAAACTGGTGCACAGCAGGGAAACAATCTGGTTTTGCTAGTCGTCAACAACATGCCTGTGTGTGTGCCTGTTTATGCTTAGGTAAGCCCAGCCTCCCACTCGCTGAAAAGAGTAGGCAGACAGGAAGGAGTGACCAACTCTGTGTCAGCCGTCATCGTGTAGAGAGCAGCTAAGGGGAACAGTGGGGCTGGAATCCCGTGGCCTCGCCTAGTACCACTCCAGCATCCTCTCTGCCCATGGTGCCAGATATCTGAATGGGAGGACAAAGGGGGCACAGGTAGTGAAAAAAACCAAGATGCACATTTAGGTATTTTCCTTCTTTTGCTAGAATGTCATTTCTTGATGTCCATTTCTTGTCACCCATTCGTGATCAGGGACTAAGTTCCCTCTGCACCAGACCAGGTGGAAGACCGAGCCAGAGTTCCTCTGAGCCACGGGAGAGATGATGAGCTATGGAGTGGAGTAGGGGCTTTTGGCAGCTCTCAGGTGATTTCAGATGCTTGGCGGGAATGATACTGTGGATAAAAGGGTTCACCGGGACAGTTGTAAGTTGCTCCGGCCAAAGGAATTGTGAGATGCGGATGAGATTTGGTGTGTATGGGGGTGGACAGGTGCTGAGGTCACTGGGACGATGGTACTTAGATGCAGGTTTAGAATTCCTGAGAACCTAAGAGAATCCGGTGCCCCAGCTAAACTAAAAGGGGGCAGGCAGCGTGTAAGAGGATGATGGGGTAGCTCAGAGAGGAAGGGGATATTCTTTCTCAAGAATGACGAGCCCAAAGGCATCGCATAACAATTGTGATCTCTCAGCTGGAAGTTTCCTCTAGCACAGGCGTCCACAGTGCGGTTCCCAAACCAGCAGCCTCCATGTCAGTTGCTGGGAACTTGTTAGAAATGCAGATTCTCAGGCCATCCCAACCATGAGATCAGAAACTCTAGGGATGGGGCCCCACAATCTGTCTTGTCTTTCTTTCTCTCTCTTTTTCTTTCTTTCCTTCTGTCTTTCTTTCTTTCTCTTTCTTTCTTTCTCTCTCTTTTTCTTTCTTTCCTTCTGTCTTTCTTTCTTTCTCTCTCTTTCTTTCTTTCTTTCTTTCTTTCTCTTTCCTTTCTCTCTCCTTCCTTTCTTTCTTCTTTCTTTCTCTTTCTTTCTTTCTTTCTTTCTCTTTCCTTTCTCTCTCTCTCTCTCTCTCTTTTTCGACCGGGTCTCACTCTGTCATCCAGGCTGGAGTGCAGTGGCACAAAAATGGCTCACTGCAGCCTCAACCTCCTGGGCTCAAGTGACCCTCCCACCTCAGCCTCCTGAGTAGCTGGTACTACAGGCCTGCACTACCATGTCCGACTGATTCTATTTTTAAATTTTTTGTAGAAACAGGGTCTTGCCATGTTGTTGCGGCTGGTCTTGAACTCCTGGGCTCAAGCAATCCTACTGCCTTGGCCTCCCAAAGTGCTGGGATGACAGATGTGAGCCACTGTGCCCGGCCTCACAATCTGTTTTTACCAGCCCCCTAGATGATCCTAATGAAAGCTTGAGAACCACTGGTCTAGATCATGCAAATGAAAGTTGCCTGAATGAGTTGGATTCTGCAGGCCTGTGAGGACCCAGAGAAGGCAGGGAGCCAGCTGCCCAGCACGAGTTCAAGATGAGCTGACCTGGTTTCAGCCTCCATCCCTGGGTTCTAGGTCCCTGCCCTTTCCAAAGAAACAATGAACCAGACCAGACCACTGCATTGGCATAAGATCACACTTTAGTGCAGAGACACATTTGCATAAATACTTGAAATGGATCCACCCCTGCAGGTGGCAGCCTGAGAACATGTGGCTCTCCACAACCCTGTGATGCTGCGGCCCTTTAGGTGATGGATTTTAACACTGAAGACAGTCGTGGTCATTCTTGAAGACAGCTTGGGGTGCAGCTTTGGAGCCTGCTTTGACATTCACCATTGACTCCCTGCCCCACGCCTCTCCTGTACTAATGTTTTCCCCTCTGAGGTAGATTATTTATCGGGGAAACCAGATAGAATTTTTTTTTTTTCATTTAACTTTGCTAGTCCTTTGCAAACAGACTGACGCTGAGTGTCCTGTCTGAGTCAATAAGTGCACTTTTACCTTTTAACCTATGCCCTCTACTTGAACCCGAGCAAGGTCCAGTCCACTGGACAGTTGATGATAGGATCTGTCACCCCATCCCCTCTCCTCTTCCCCCTTAGGAATTCGTGCAGTACTGGAGGGGTTGCGGCAATGGGAGGCCTGGGTGGGCCATGCTGCCTTGATATATAGAGTCACCACAGTGGAGACCCTTGTCTGCACCTCAGTACCCCACGTCCAGGAGCATGAGACTGACCCTTTCCCCCCGAATCACAGGGGGCACAGCTGGCTTTCACAGGGCTTGGCATCCTCAGGTTTCAGAGCCTTGTTGCAGGTGGCAGAGGCCTGGCCGGAGGGGTCCCTGCACTCTACAGTTCGCCGCTGCCAGCCGGGCCCGCAGGTGCTGGAGCACTCAGACCAGTCCCCCAGCACCCACTGTACGTGGAGCAGTGGCTGGATGATGTTGGTGGTTGCTCTCTCTTTGCTGCTCTGCATGCTGAAGTCCACGTCATTAGGAACAAAGAAGGTGTATTTGACTTTCGGGGGGAAGACCTCGCCAGGGACTGTCAGGAGCTGCACTGTCAGAGGCTCTGGCAAGGGCCGGAAGCTCTGCAGGCGCTCCAGGGTGGCGATGGAGCCGCTGTACTTCAGGATGGTCCCCTTCACCAAGATGTCCTGCTCTATGGCAGAGATGGCCAGGTTGCCGTTGAGCAGGTACTGCCCGTCAGCTGTCTTCAGCGCCAGGTAGTTCCCATCGTTCTGCACACCTGGGTGGCTCCGCTGCTTCACGTCAATATTAGTGGCACCAGCTGGGATGGTGACAATGTCATTGTAGCCATAACTATGATAGAAACAGAAAGACACCCTCAGACCAGTGGCTGCCCAGCCCTGGTCGCGATGATGCCTTGGAGACTGAAGTGGGCACCCCAGGTGGCAGACAAGAAAAACCAAAGCAAGTAATGAAGCAAGTGGCCTCAACGTTCTCAATAAATTAGCTGTTTAGGCAGACAGAAATGTCTTGTACATTGGGATTTTTCAAGGGTTTTTGCTTCATCTGGCAACTCTATTTCAAATGCGTGGTTGAGGAGTTGAGGTATGTGGGTCTTGAGAACAGCATAGAGAGGAAGAGAACCCGGAAGGATTTGGAAAGCTGCACTGGTGCAGCCAAACCTGGCACCTGTCAAATGAGATCTCGAATACCTCTAGTTCCTTGCACTGGTATACAACTTTGCTTGGCCACCTCCATACCCAGAGCTCAAACCCACATGGAAAAAACTGTTCTGCACACCCCTTCCAGAACGTGAACAGGAGGACATTTCACACCACCTCTTTGAGTCAGTCGGCTCCTAGTATTTGATGAATATGGCCCTAGGGTGGGATCAGGGTGGGGTTGGGAGTTGGGGGTTCAAGCCTGCTTCTTTGAAGCCACCTTCTGGGAGTGCCCAGGCACCATGAGCTCTGTGCTTCTGGAATGACAGAATGCTGTTTTGGGAAACTGTTTCCAGTCCGTTATAGGCTTAGGGCTTTAGGTAGGATGAAGAAAGATTAGTTGTTTGTTCTTTTCTGGAAATCTGGGTTCCACAGGCTGGGGAGAAAGTGAGGCAAACAGTCAGGCGGGCTCTTTGCTCTCCTTGCCATATGTCCAGTGGGGCTAGCTGCTTAGTCTCAGACTCTGAGAGTGTCCACAGGCCCATCTGTCTAAAGTCTGAGGGAAAGTGGCCAAGGGCCCCAGTATCTGAATAGCGTCTGCTGCTTTTTTCCTACATCCTTTGAGCTTAAATGTAAAAAGAGTTCCAGGGCAGGGCGCAGTGGCTCATACCCATAATCACAGCACTTTGGGAGGCCAAGGCGGGTGAATCACTTGAGGCCAGGAGTTCAAGACCAGCCTGGCCAACATGATGAAAGCCCGTCTCTACTAAAAATACAAAAATTAGCTGGGTGTGGTGGTGCATGCCTGTAATTCCAGATACTTGGGAAGCTGAGGCAGGAGAATTGCTTGAACCTGGGAAGCAGAGGTTGCAGGTGAGCCAAGATCGTGCCACTGCACTCCAGCCTGGGCAACAGAGTGAGACTCTGTCTCAAAAAAATAAAAATAAATTTAAAAAAATGAAAACAGTCCCAAGTTGCCTGCTATAGGCTGATTCTGTTCTCTCAGACTGATGAGATGAGAGATGTAGAGATAGATACACACACACACACACACACACACACACACAGACAGAATGGGACAGGGTTTGCGAGCTTCACTAAGCAGAATACAATACAGTGAACACGTCTCAAAAACTCTGAGACCGTGAGTGGGGGAAGTGGTTGGACAGATGGATGCTCATATAACTCCCAGAAGGATACACTGATGTACTGGAGGCAGAGAGGCAGAGTGTGGCCCATATAAAACACCTGACCTTGCCCTTACTCTCCAGGAAGTACATGGAATGGGAGACAAAAGTCATCCAGGACTTAGGAAAACTACGTTCTCTTCTGGCTGTCATTAACTATCAATGTGACCTTAAAATGTCATTTAATCTTTTTGTGTCTTAATTTCTTCCTCTGCAAAATGAAGAATAGTATTGGCCTTGCTCACCTCATGGACTTATTTTACAAATCAAACGAGACCATAGAAATGAAAGCGCTTTGGAAAATCCTTGGAGTTTTATGAATGTGGGGCATTAGGATGTGAACAAAGTGTCTGGAGTTCTCAGATTCATGAAAGCCCTGGGGCTGCCAGGGCCCCTTTTTGGTAACCCCCTTCTCTGGAGATCCGTCTGCAGAAAGGGCAGGGCTTGCCAGGCTTAGGGTGAGACGTCCTTCCCAAAACAGGCCTGGGAGAGCCGCTTTCTGGCAGAGGTCCAGGTTACTCAGTGTGGCTCGACTGACTCAGAGATGACAGCTCCCTATCCACATGGCCTCCAGCCCTCGTAAAAGTCACGGCTGTCCTGTGTTCTGTCTTTTCTATGAGCTTGACACTGCCAAGTGCACATCCCATCTCAGGAAATCCTTACGACGACTCTGAGCTAGAGATACTGCTGACATTTTATAAAGAAACTGAAGCTTGGAGAGTTTGAATAACTTGCCCAACCCTCATAGCTATTAAGTAGCAGCCACAATTCAAATTTGGGCCTATCAGAGCGCAAAGCCCATTATGCTCTTCTACCAAGCAAGGTACAGAACTCCTGGGGAGACTCACCTGGTGGGGGTGAGGGACCCGGAGACCTTCCTGCAGGAGTTGCCTTTGCCCCCACACACCCCGCATTTGTCCAGCTTCCGAGGCGAGTCCACCACATGGTCACAGCCGGCCTTGACACACTGGCCACGGACACAGATGGCCAGTGTCTCCGGCCCACACAGGGTGCCATCAATCACCTGCAACAGGGAAAGGGAAGGTGCAGGAGGGCATGTTGCGCACAGAAGCAGCCTGTGGGAGGGGTGGGGACAGGCGACCTTCCTCCCCATCTCTGGATCTGAGTCCCAGGGTGATTCTCACCTTGGCCTCGAACACTTTGAACTCACTCCTCCCCCGGGCTCGGCAGAACAACTTGCAGCGGTCCCGGGGGGACACCCCAGCGTACTTGGGGACCCACTGCAGGAGATTCCCATCCATGTCAGTGTAATTGTAGGCATTATACTTCTCACACTGCTGTTCCCTGAAGCTTTTCCCTAGAAAGAGGAAGAAATGGCATGGCGGTGACACCCATGCGCAAGCAGGAGGTCCCGGTGGAGAAATCTCGAATTTACAGCATTTTCTTCTTTTGGTTTTGGACTCAACCCAGGGACCCAGGCAGGGCCAGTGTCTTCTGGGCACAACATTCCTAGACCCATGTGTGACCCTTTCTCAAAAGGGCAAGGAAAGGAGCCCTCCAGCCTCATGCTGGGCTTTCTAGGATAAATGCCCTTTCCATTAGGGAAAGAGATTCATTGTACTTTACAGATGAATGAACTCAGGGAGCAACAGGGAACAAGTCAGTAAGCCTGGAAGGCAGAGAATGGCACGTGGAGCTATATTCTCAGGACACTGCTAATTGTGCAGTGTCGATTTCCTCAGTGACACTGGACATGACTCCAAAGACTCCTAAATCTACACGTTTAGCTCCGATCTTGCCCCTACACTCACATTCTGTAATGCTGGCTGTCTCTGGGGAGCTCCGTTTGTATGTACTATGATTACCTCCAACTCAGCACGGCCAAGCTCCCGAGGGTCCTTCCACAAACTGTTTGACTTTCATTTGCTGGTCTCACCACGCTCAAGTCTGAGACTGGCATCCCGGTATCTCCCGAACATGTGAGCATCTCTATTTGCTATTTCCAAACGGTCACAGAGACCTACACTATATTCAGGACAGTCTGTGATTTCAAACGACGGCATCCCACCCTCACGACTGCAAGCCCAGGGCTGCTGGCTTCATGGGGACCTGTGCCTGCCTCCTCTCCGTCCTGCCGTGCGCCGCTGCCGGACCAATCCATCTGAAGTTAGACGTGGGTTGCTTTCCACCCCCAAATCCTAAAATTAAAGCTGTTTTTCCTGCCAAGGTTCCCCGCCCAAACTGTGCATCTGAATGCCTGGGGAGACTTTGCCAAGGCAGATGCCACACTCCACGCCTGAGACTCTGAGTCAGTACAGCTGAGGGGGTCTGGGCTGTGTCTGCAGGAGCTTCCAGGTGACTTGATGGGACAGGTGGCACAGATAACCCCCAGATACTGTGTCAGCCTTCAAGGACCTCTGTGGTCTGGCCTTGACATAGTGGTGTGCTTTGCTTGATTCCATCTAAGCGAATGAGGGCCCTTCTCACACCTTTCCCCATCCTGGCAGGTCCCCTCACACCTCACCCCGTCTCAGTCCTCCAGACTCTGCTCAGTCCTAACTCCCTTCAAAGCTTCCGCTCACCCAGCCTTTCCTTTCTCTGAGCCTCTCACCAATCTAGGGTCTGTGACTCATCCATTGAAACTTAATGGCTGTGTTAAAGGGATTTGGGTCTCTAATTGGATTGCAAGCTCCTTAAGGACAGAGACCATGCCTTTTACATTTTCATACATTTTTATAGTCCTAGACACACAAAAAGTACTAAAAAATACTCGACAGTAATGGCAGACTTTGGTGGGTCTGAAATCATGACGTCCTTTTTCGTCCATGCCTACCTTGCACCCTATATTCATTCCCGTCCTCCCCCTTTCCCGGCAACGTCTCACCCGTATGCCAGGCAAACTCTCACACAATTCCAGCACAAAGTTTCTAGAGCCTCAAACCATTGTGGATCCTTCTTGTCTTGTGGAACTGCGAAGCCTACAGATTCTCCTCTGAAACATCAAGCCAGTGCCAGCGTCTTTTCCCGTGGTTGAATCTCTCCTAAGGCTCTGCCTGATTTTTCATGCCTGCCAATCCTTCCTGGAGCTGCACACTGGGCAGTTGGATGGGATGGTGGGGAAAAACCTTGTCATGATTTCCCTCTCATGAGTTTGCTGCTGCCCCTTTACTGCCTCTAAGTTAATGTGTGTGGTTTCCAGCAGGTACTGGGGATAGGAATATGCCAAGGGGAGGGAGAGGTAGTATTGCTTCCTGGGGAGATTCTGTCAAACAGTTGCTATGGCCCCAAGGGAAGAGGGAATGTGAGCAGGAATCAGATTCAGAAATCCTCCCTCTTCCCTGGGCTGAATTTTGGCTAGAAAGACCTTGGAGGTTTGGCTCTGACACTTGCTTTGGAAAATGCTTCCATTCTGCACACAGATGAGGGTTCTGATGCCTCCAGGAGGATTAGTTTCCTAGACACCAGCCCCTCTCCAGAGGCTCCTCCCCAATAAGTTTGGGTGGGAGTGATGTCCTCCTCTCCACATCTTGGAAGATGAGGGTAATTTCTCTCGTTGACTTTGCCAGGCTCTCTAAACACTATGAGAGCTGTCCCGGGTCCCTGAGAGCTCTCCCTGGGCTTGGAGCCTTGCAGAGCCCATTTAGGTGCAGATCACAGGCAAAACTCTATATCCCAGGACACCCACTTTACTCCCACTTTACACATCCTCTGGGGATGTGTCACAGCGATGATAGTAGCTGCTCTGGCAGGGGCGGCCCTGAGTGGCAATTACCGTCAGGGGGGCATTCCTCCGTGTGGCATGACTGGTACTTGGCTCTCCGACCCAGGCAGTATCTTCCTCCATTCTGAGGCTCGGGGTCCTTGCACTCACGGTGTGAAAACTGTACTCCTCCTCCACAGGTCCGAGAACATTCTCCCCAGGGTCCCCACGGTGCCCAGCCTCCATCTACCACGGGCTGCAACATACAATGACACACTGAATGAGGAGCAAAGGCCAGGAGGCTTCAGTGTCTGTGCCACCGGGTGGCCAAAGCCCTGGCTTCCTCATCTAGTCATTCTCATCTTGGTGTATGGAGCACCGTAAGCTGCCTCAATCATTTGTTTAAGGACTGTGTGGCCTTCATGGCTTTGTGAGCACAGAGACCAGGCTGGACTCATTCACTGCTGACTCGCCAGTGTCTGAAACAGTGTCTTATGCTCAGTAAGGTGCTCAGTACACTGTCTGCTGAATGAATGAATGACACTCTTTTATGGGAATAAGGTTGCATTTAATGCAATGGTTCTCCACTGGGGAGAATTTTGCCCTCCAGAGGACATTTGGCAATGTCTGGAGATATTCCGGTGGCTACAGCTGGGGAAGGTGTATGTTACCGTATTTAGTGGGTAGAGGCCAGGGATGCTGCTCAACATCCAGCAAAGCACAGGCCCCACAGTAACAATTATCCTGACCCAAGTGTCCCTAGTGCCAAGGTAGAGGAACTCTGGTCTAAAGGAAGCAGCCCTGGGAGTGTTGCCATAGTCTACCAGCCACTGGTTCCAGTGATAGGATAATGCCTGGGAAAGAAACAGAATTGCTTTTTTTCGTTTGGTTTTTTGAGACAGAGTTTTGCTCTGTCGCCCAGGCTGGAGTGCAATGGCGTGAATTCGGCTCAGTGCAACCTCTGCCTCCTGGGTTCAAGCGATTCTTGTGCCTCGGCCTCTTGAATAGCTGGGATTACAGGCACACACCACCATGCCTGGGTAATTTTTGTATTTTTAGTAGAGACGGGGTTTCACCATGTTGGCCATGCTGGTCTGGAACTCCTGACTTCAAGTGATCCACCCGCCTCTGCCTCCCAAAGTACTGGGATTACAGGTGTGAGCCACCATGCCCGGCCCTGCTTCCCATTTTATAACTGACCTATGAGAACAAAGCTTTGCCCTTTTGAATGCTGTATGCCCAAAGGTTCATAGTGCATTCCGAATGAAAATAATTTTTTAAAAATTACAAAAGTAATAGTTGCTCATATGACAAATAAAAAAATGCAGAAAATTGTAAAAAAGAAATCAACACTTCTTTAAAACACCACTACCCAGATTAAATCATTAACATGATTTTCACCAATATTTTTCTTACTTTTGCTCTGAATATATCCTCATAAAGATGCGATGCTTTTATTTTACAAAAGATATGATTCTATAAATATTCTTTCTTTCTCTCTTTCTTTCTCCCTTTCTTTCTTTCTTGACAGTCTTGCTCTGTCGCCCAGGCCAGAGTACAGTGGTGTGATCTTGGCTCACTGCAACTGCTGTCTCCCGGGTTCAAGTGATTCTCCTGCCTCAGCCTTCTGAGTAGCTGGGATTACAGGCGCCCGCCACCACACCTGGCTAATTTTTGTACTTTTAGTAGAGACAGGGTTTCACCATGTTGGTGAGGCTGGTCTCGAACTCCTGACCTCAGGTGATCGACCCATCTCAGCCTCCCAAAGTGCTGGGATTACAGGCATGAGCCACTGTGCCCGGCCTGATTCTATAAACATGTATTTTCTGATCTGACTGTTCTTAAAAAGAGGCCATCATTCCATGATCATTTCACGTCAACCTCTCCCTGTACTTAGTTCGGCTCTGCCTCTGGGGATCGGTGGCAGATCCCTCTCCTCAATAACATGTGATGAGAATGAACAGGGTGAATGGGACGTGGCTGAGGATCAATCCATGAATCCTGTGTCAGCTGAGGCTTAGGACAAGAGTATGGAGCTTACCTGGTGCAGGCAGGCTCAGAAGGCTCAGAAGGCTCAGTGGAAAAGACATGTACTGAGGAGTGCTTGGGCTACCCTGGCAATTCAGCGCTGGCGGGGACCGGGCTGTGAAACCCAGTGGATGCTGTTTCATAGTGATGGCTCCGTGACTCACCGTAAGAGAAATGTGATCAGCCTCACGGTTTGGATGTATTAAGAGCAGGGCAAAGAAGTGAATCATTTAAAAACCCTCACTGGCACTGCCTTGGTTTTTCTTGTGAGTTTACTCTCTCCTGGGCCAAGTTTTTTTTCTGCCTGGCCAGAGGCAGCTCTGATTCTCTCTCCTCTCCTCCTCTTTGAGTATGGAATTCCCACAACTGCTTTCGTTCTCCCAACCTCTAATTATGCATTCAGTTCAAGCACGGGCAGGCTATGAATACTTTTCACTCAATTCTTGATGGAATTTATTCCACGTGTCTCTCTGTGTTCATGATGGAATCGACAGTGGCTCCAGTCTGTGTGCCCACCTGCCTGTCTCCACACCTCTCACCAATCTGCACCTGCACCAGCCCTGAGTCAGTCCCAAAGCAGCTCCCTAATGTCTGGAGCCATGGCAGCGTCAACCCACTGAGTGAGGGTGAGCCACCACGGGCTCCTCACTGTGAGGATAAATATACTTTGGTTTGTTTGTTAAAAGATGAGTGATTTTACCTAGAAGTTCTGTGTTGCAGCCTGGCCCAACGTTTGTTTTCTTTCTTTTTTTTTTTTTGGAGACAGGATCTCCCTCTGCCACCCAGGCTAGAGTGCAGTGGCATGATCATGGCTCACTGCAGCCTCAAACTCCTGAGATCAAGTGATCCCCTGCCTCAGCCTCCCGAGTAGCTGGGACTACAAGTGTGAGTCACCAGGCCCGGCTTATTTTTTATTTTTTTGTAGAGACAGGATCTCACTATGTTGCCCAGGCTGGTCTCGGTTCAAGTGATCCTTCTGCCTCAACTTCCCAAAGTGCTGGGATTCTGGTGTGAGCCGCTCTGCCTGGCTGTCTCTCGGTTTGTGACTCTCAAGTGTGGTTCCCCCTTGAGAACAGCCCTCAGTCCTCCCCATTTCCTTTTGTTTCTCCTTTCTCCTTCCCACTATCCTCAGGGGCTGTGCCTCACCTTGGGCCTCTCCACTTCCTCCTCAGGTAGACAGCTGCCTTCTGAGCAGAGGTGCCCAGGCCCGCATGGCGTGCCGTCAGCCCAGGGCAGGCTGCCATTCTTTGTGTGGCACAGGGGCTCGGCCCCATCAGTGTGGCACCAAAGCTGGGCGCAGACGTCCTGAGCAGAAGTGTTGGGGCAGTGGTGGAAATCCGGCCCAAAGATCTGCCTGCACTGCTGGTCCAGCTGGTACAGGGCCATGCGGCCCGGGAGGCCTGTGGGGAGGGGCAGGGCCGCGGCAGGGGCGTCCAGGAGACAGTCTCCTGGGAAAAGAGGAAGCAGGGGTGTAAGAACGCACGCAGGGGTGCCACCCTCTCAGCTCTTCATGGCCTGCGATGGATGGCACTGAAGGTCTAGGCGTCACGACTTCTTGACCTGCAACTAAAAGCTGTCACCACTCGATGATCTCGTGAGAGCATGCCTAATTTTTGACTATCGGTTGCAAAGGCTTTTCAGGACCGACTTTCCTTTGCTGTCCTGAACATGTAGGAAGCATTGCCCCCGACAGTCATTGTACAACCAGTGAATGCCAGCTAACGCAATATTCATCCACATCACAATCTAACCGTGCTCCTCAAAGTCACAATATGCAAATGAAGACCAACTAATGCTGTCTGGATAATCTTATTTTTGCATCATACATGTCCCTGTCTCCCTCAGTGAGAAGAATTTAGAATATTTCATTGCTTTACCAACAACTCCAACCAGTTAAAATTGTTTTATCTTTAATCCTCTCTTCTGAGAAGCAATTTTTTTTTTTGGAGACGAAGTCTAGCTCTGTTGCCCAGGCTGGAGTGCAGTGGCTCGATCTTGGCTCACTGCAACCTCCACCTACTGGGTTCAAGCGAGTCTTCTGCCTCAGCCTTCTGAGTAGCTGAGACTACAGGCGTGTGCCACCATGCCTGGCTAATTTTTTGTATTTTTGGTAGAGACAGGGTTTCACCATGTTGGGCAGGCTGGTCTTGAACTCCTGACCTTGTGATCCACCTGCCTCAGCCTCCCAAAGTGCTGGGATTATAGGCGTGAGCCACTGTACCCGGCCTCCTTCCTTCCTTCCTTCCTTCCTTCCCTCCCTCCCTCCCTCCTTCCCTCCTTCCTTCCTTCCTTCCTTCTTTCTTTCTTTCCCCTCCCTCCCTCCTTTCCTTCCCTCCTTCCCTCCTTCCCTCCTTCCCTCCTTCCTTCCTTCCTTCCTTCCTTCCTTCCTTCCTTCCCTCCCTCCCTCCCTCCTTCCCTCCTTCCTTCCTTCCTTCCTTCTTTCTTTCTTTCCCCTCCCTCCCTCCTTTCCTTCCCTCCTTCCCTCCTTCCCTCCTTCCCTCCTTCCTTCCTTCCTTCCTTCCTTCCTTCCTTCCTTCTCTCCTTCTCTCTCTCTCTCTCTCTCTCTCTCTCTCTTTCTTTCTTTCTTTCAAGAGATGGCGTCTCTTTCGGTCACCCAGGCTGGAGTCAGTGGCGTGATCACGGCTTACTGGCAGCCTTGATCTCCTAGGCTCAAGTGATCCTCCTGCCTCAGCCTCCCGAGTATCTGGGACCACAAGCGCGCGCCCCACGCCTGGCTCCAGTCCTTTGAACCAGTCCCTTGCCCTGTTGCTCTCACAGGACGCAGTCACTGCCTCTGCCATGCCTGAGCTGTTGTAGGTTCGTCTCTCCTCTGTGCTGTGTGCTTCTATTCCTTCAAGCGCTGCTCCAACCCTCCTCCTTCAGACAACCTTCTCAGATGACTTCCCCCTGCTTTGTGACTCATCTAAATTAGCCCAGAACTGCTGCTGGAAGCTGGGACCGGGAAGAGCAGACTTCAGGGTGGTGTGAATGCCCCAGCATGGGAGGCTGGCCGGGACTCAGCTCCAAGGGCCCTGTGAGGAGGCACTGCTGGAGGGGGTCCCTGTGTCAGCAGCAATGGAAGGAGGCCCACGGGGACAAGCAGGGCGGGGTCGCCGGTGCCTACCGTGCCCGCCGTCCAGGAGCTCCGTGAGGTACATGGCGCTGCAGGGGGACCAGGGCAGCGTCTGGTTCAGGTGGACGAACAGCGGCGCCATCATGTGGTGCTTGCCCATGGGCCCGAAGAGCCGCGTGCAGGGCTTGGAGTCGTCGTGCGGCATGCTGAGGACGTGCCCTGGGAAGAGAGGCCTGGTCCACTCTGCCCTGTCCTGCCCGAGGGCGCCCCACCCGGCCCAGCTAGGGCCAGAGATGGAGCTCCTCAGGGGAGCAGCCACCCCTCACCCTCGCAAGATTTCTGCCTTGGGCTTTCCCCTGCGCTTTGCTCTTCCCGGACGTGTTCTCAGATGACTGAGAAACACGGATACCCCTTTATTTTCTGCCTCAGCCCGTCCTAAATTTGGATCTAGCTCTATTATTTGCTGTCTTACGTGACAGTCCCTGGACCAATGTTCTTCCCCAGATCCTACGGCTTAGCTTGTGCACAGCGCCACCCTCCACCCCAGCACCCGTCTGGTGTCCTGGCATTCATCAGGTGACCTGTGATCATCAGGTATTTGGCCTTGTGCTCGGGGTGGGAGTGGAGTTTGTTCAGCACCGTCAAGCGCGGTATCTGTTTGTATACAGCCACCCTGTCAAAACCATGAGGAGCTATTCCTAAGCGAGGAATGGCTGCATATTCCTTAGGATCTACGCAACCTTGGATCTGGAAGAGCAGTTCCTGCTGATGTGGTGAAGTGGGCTTTGGCAAGGCATATCTTACCTAGTTCATGGGCCAGGGTGTGGGCTGCCTGGAGCCCCTCATCCTCGATCACGGAGCAGCTTTTGTTGGGGTCACAAATGGTCCCGATGTCTGCCACACCCAGGGTGTCACACAGCCCCTCCTGCCCACAGAAGTTCTGCTTGGTGGGGAGAGAGCAAGAGAGTGCATCAGTGTGTGTGTGTGTGTGTGTGTGTGTGTGTGTGGTGTGCTGCAGGCCTCCGGGGCCAGGGGTGGCCAGTGTGCACGTGGGAGTGGACCACAGAGCATCCCATAACGTGCTTGCTGGCCTGTGCATCACCTGTGTTTATTGAGCTTTTAAATTAAATGAAATTATTATTATTATTTTTTGAGATGGAGTCTTGCTCTGTTGCCTAGGCTGAAGTGCAGTGGCATGATCTCAGCTCACTGCAACCTCTGCTTCCAGGGTTGAGGCTATTCTCTTACCTTAGCCTCCCGAGTAGCTGGGACTACAAGTGTGCACCATCACACCTGGCTAATTTTTGTATTTTTAGTAGTGACGGGGTTTTACCATGTTGTCCAGGCTGGTCTCAAATTCCTGACCTCAGGCCATCTGGCCTCTTTGGCCTCCCAAAGTGCGGGGATTACAGGCGTGAGCCACCACGCCCAGCCTAAATTAAATTTTAGAGACGAGGTCTGGCTATGTTGTCCAGGCTGGAATGCAGTGGCTATTCACAGGAGTAATTGTAGCTCACTTAGCCTCAAACTCCTGGGCACCAGCGATTCTCTCACCTCAGCCTCCCAAGTAGCTGGGACTACAGGTGCTTGCCATGTGCCCGGCTGAACTTTTCTAAGGAGGGGGAAGCAACAGCAAGTTCAACGTGTCTGGATATCCCACCTAGTGGCCTTGCTTTATTGGTTCTTTTTGTGTTTATGGTCAAGACAGTTCACCCACCCACCCCCCATCTTTCTAAATTGGAGAGTAACCTGTGAAATTTTGTTTTGTTAAAGCCTGTAATCTTTGCATTTTGAGAGGCCAAGGCAGGTGGATTGCTTGAGTCCAGGAGTTGGAGACAAGCCTGGGCAATATAATGAGAACCTGTCTCTACAAAAAGTAAAAAAAAAAATTAGCCGGGTGAGGTGGCTTGTGCTTGTGGTCCCAGCTACTCAGGAGGCTGAGGTGGAAGGATCATTTGGACCTAGCAGGCAGAGGCTGCAGTGAGCTGTGATTGTGCCACTGCACTCCAGCCTGGGTGACAGAGCGAGACCTTGTCTCAAACAAAACAAAACAAAATTAAAAACAAAAAAGAATATAAAATACATAGGCTATCAAGATGGATTTCTGAGTGACAAGATCAGGAAATCTCCGTCTGTCTTCACATCAGCCACTCATGTGAGGGAGCCTGTTCTATGTTCCAGGCTGGCTGCATCCTGAGGCTGGCTGGGACTTCAGAGGCTTTTTGTGGGGGACAGGACAGCATGGTCGTTCAGAACGTGACCCTACAGCAGCACTGTCTTGGCTGGTCTATGGGCACTGCCACTATGTGGCAAGAGAGCTGTGCGGCCACTCTGCGCCTCAGTTTCCTCTGTTACAAAATGGGGATAACACCAGGACCTGCCTGGTGGGGCCGTTATGAGACTGAAGGAGCAGACAGGGCCTGGCACACATGATCACTCTCTTGCTTTCAGGAAGCTGTCTGTTTAAATCACGCCGTGGAGGTGGACAGCCCTCCCACTGTGGGCAAATCTTGAGGGGACCCCCTGGCTACCTGCCCCATGTTTTACAACCACTGCAGCTAGAACTACTCTCTTCATTCCAAACCCAGATCTCTCACTCGGCAGCTCGAGCCCATTTCTTCTTGTTATGTGTGACCTCAGGAGACAGCTGGTCACAAACTTTTGGAAGACAGCCCTTACAAGATTCTTCTCCTTCCCTTGCAAATACCTCACACTTGTCCTCATGACCTCCTCCTCGTCATTCCGGGCATGAGGCTCTGGCGTCCAGCTGGGGCCAGCAGGGAGACGTTTCCCATGTTTGGGCAGGCCTCGTGGTCCTCCCTTTGATCTGCCCATCCCGTCTCCCTTCCTCCCCAGGGCTTCCGGAGCCAGGCACGGACCTGTCTGGTGAGCAGGATGGCCGTGTCGTAGTGCTCCGGGTGGCGGTCACTGGGCTGGTTGAAACGCCGCTGCCAGTTGCAGAAGTTGCGCAGTGTAAGCCCCCCGTTGTCGGACACCTCTGGGCCCCATTTTTCATCTTCTACAATCAGCACTTTTACCACCATCAGGTTGATGGAATTCTTGATGCTGGGGTGCTTGTAGATTCGGGCTGCCACAGACATTAATGTGAGGATGTGGTTCTGTCAGGAAGGAGGAGACAAGAGGCAGAGTGAAGGGTTGTCTCGGGGCCGTTTGCCTGGCTTGTCCGCTGCCATTACCTCTTTTTATGGGGCTGAGCATCGGATTCTTACCAAAGCCTCACAATACCCGTGAGGCCTCCGCGTTACTCTCTTCATTTTGCATGTGAGAAAACAGGCTCAAGAACCTGCCGAGGGTCACAAAGCTGATGCATGAACAGCGGCCTTTGAAACCAGACCTGCCTTGCTCTGAACCTGTGCGTCTAACATTCAGACCAGCTTCATGGGATGACCTACATCCAAATTCATTAAAACCCAAAACCCTAAATTTATAGTGCATTTCAAGTGTGTCAATAGTCATATATGGCTCGTGGCTACTGTACTGGAATGTGCAGATAGAAAGTTCTACTGGACGGCATGGCTTATTCTGCCTTCAACCTGACACTGTCTCCCTGCCCACCACCCCCACCCATCCCTGGCCTCAGCCCAGAAACAAAGTTCTGAGCGCTCAAGCTTAGCAGAGTTCCCTCTTAGAATCCAGCTGAGCATTTTCCTGCTGCCTGTTGGGGTAACTCTACTCTTCAGGGTGGGAATTGTTAACGCTGAAAACTTTGCTGTGATAATCACTCCTAACAACAGTTACTCTGCCACATTACCTCAAAGAATTCTCACAGTAACTTTATGAAGAAGGTGCTGCAATTCCATTTCCTGAATGAGGAAGGTCATGCAAATGAGCTCGTCGAAGGTCGCACAGCTATTGAAACCAGGAGGCCAGCCCGGGTGTGCCTGTCTCTGAGGTCCACCGTGCTCTCATTAGGTTTTCCAGGGCTTGGCTTCCTGGTGTCTGCCTGGACAGCCCTGAAGGGTTCATTCCCTCCTGACTGGGGCTTGAGAGGCTCCCGTGGGCCTAAGCGGACCCACGTGCTTAGGATCTCACCTGCTCTCCCTTCCACCCAGGCTGGCCAACAGAACGTACGTCACTGCTTGGCCTCTGTCTTGTCCCTGGGCTGCCAACTGCTCCCCCACTGGATTCCAAGGCTTGGAGAGGAGGCCAGATGGGAACTCGCTCTCCTGCCTCGGCGACCCCTTGAAGTGGCCCTCTTTGAGCATTTTGTGGAAGGGGAGACACAGGGGCAGAGGTGGGTGCTCCTTGAGCCTGGAGTGTGGTCAGCTGGGCAGCACCTGCTTGCCCTGCCTCTCCGATCCCTAGATCACCACCTCTCGGGAGCCCCTCTTCCGCTTCTCCTGTGGTCTGGAAGGTGGGAGTGGAAGGAGGAGAAAGGAAAGGGTAGAGAGGGACATTCCATTGGGTGAGGCCCTGTGTGGGCGTTCCAGATGAATCCCATTATTTGTGAATGGGATCTGTCCGTTCACCTCGCAGGCAATGAGCCAGGTATTTTGTTAGCCCTACAAGCAGGGGTTGGCAGGTTACTTGGCGTGTCAAGCACTCCGGCAGTGTTTCGGCTGATGGAAACATCTTATCAACAGGGCTGAAACTTGGCACTTGCCCCTGGAGTTGGATTCTGGAGGGAAACAAAGCAATCACATCATTATGCAACTGGGGGTGAGCACTGAGGAGTGGTGGCTTGCCGAGACAAACCCTGGCTGGGTCTTTGCTGCTTCCAGGAGGCCAACAGTATCCTCATCTCTCTAAGAAGGACCAGGGTCTGATGGGCCAGGGACCAACCCCTGGAATTTCTTCTGAGGCAAACTGCGACCGTCATCACAAGATTTCTTCCCGTTGAGTCCAGTTTCACAATCTCAAATTGGGGGAGATGAGGTCGTACAACAAAGGTGTGAAGCGAAGGAGCACCAGCTGCTAAGCTTTGGGGCTGAGACAGCTCAGTACCAGAAGCCAAAGACGGGAGGTTGGGGCAAGTCTGTGTGCCCACGTTGAGCAGATCGGAGGGAGGCTGAGTGAGAGACAAGGCAGTGCTCACGTCCTCAGTGAAGACCGGAGGAAGGCGAGGGTTAACCCCTGATCTTCCTGCAGGATAAACCACTGCTTGAAGATCAGGGCAAGACAGCACAAGGAGCTTCCTGGCCCTCAGGTTCCCAGAGGGCTCCTTCTCTGCAGCTCAGGTTGCTCATATCATTGTCTTCTCCAGACAGTGCGTAGCTGTCAGGCAGGGCTGGCTTCAGAGCCATTTAGCTTCAAGGGGTGGGCTGGACTTGAGGACATCTGAAGGTCCTTCTGGCTGTTGTCTCAGAAGATACTTTTCATTTTCAAGAAGGCTAGGAGGATTCCGTGACCCAGGGTTCCCTTCCAAATCCCCGCTCCCGATCCCACTGACCTCTCCTTATCTCTTGTTCTACCGAGTTTTTGATTTTCCCCTCCCAGTCCGCTCTTCTGACAAATGACCACAGGAATGCTTCACGTATGTGGTGCGTCTCACAGTTCGCTAGGGAGAAGGACCACTGAGCCTGGGTGAGGGGGGTGACCTCAGGGCTGTGAGCCTTTGGTTCTGCCCCAATCCCCTAGGCTCAAAGGACAGGCCTGACTTAGAGTCCCATGGGGATCAGGCCTGCGGATGGTCAAGGAGGAAGTCAGATGGCTTGTTCCACCTGCTGGTGCTGCTTTACACCTCCCTGCTCCCTGCACCAGTGCAGGCTGCGTGTGAAAAATGTGAACAGGGTCCTGGCCCCCCTGAGGAGGAGAGGCCTCAGCACATCATACAATGCCTCAAAGCCATGACAGGTAGGTGGGAGCCCATAGTCAGCCCGGCTGGGGTGTCAAATGATCTGCTCTTAAATGACTTGGGGATCCCATACTCTTAACTTTTGTTAGGGAGAGGCGGCATTTTTTAGGGAGTCTGCTCCTGCATGAGTGACCCCAGGGCCTGGAATAGAGATGAACATCAGGCCAGTCAGGGTGGCTCATGTCTGTAACCCCAGTACTTTGGAAGGCCAAGGTGGGCCTTGAGACCAGCCTGGGAAACATAGTGAGATCCTGTCTCTGTTAAAAAAATAATAATGGATTAAAAAAAATTAATAGTAATAACACCCTGGCCTGTTGGGTGGGCCGGAGCACCTTTTGGTTATTTGAGATACGAACAAGGAGATTCCTTCCTCAGAGCTCCCATGGTAGTGGAAGCCAGCTGCGGTGGGTGATGGGGACGGGCCGGCCTCCTCCCGCCCTGATGTCATCATTACACCGAGCCGGTTTGCGCTTCACCTGCAGCTCCACTGCTTTCCCTTGTGGCATGCCTAGTGGGAGGCCAGGAGAGGAAAAGTGGCCCTGGGGAGCCCTTGCTTCAGCATCTGGCGCAATGCCTCTTCCTTCCTGACATCTCTAGGGCCTGAGACTGAGCTGGGGGTGTGGAGATGGAGAAGCAGAGGGAGAGGAAAGAAGTGAGAGGAGAAAAGAATGACCTGCACCATATCCTTCATCTCCTCTTGTTCTCCAAACAGCAAAGGGCAATGTCGCCTCTTCAAAGCACACACGCTGAACTACAAGTCAGCCTTCACCGCTGAGCCTGGGCAAACTGAAAGAGAAGATTCCTCTGCTGTGTGGAACAGCAAAGCTGAAACAGTGGTGGCCGGCACTCTGATGTCATGGGCTAGCCCATCCTCCCCACTTTAACAAATGGTTTCCATCACTGAAGGCAACTCTAGCCATAGCCACACCTTGCTGAGTATCTCCTCTAAACCAGGCACCAGGTCAGGTGCATTCCATATTTTGTTTCATCCCCAAGACAAGGCTAGGATGTTGGTATAACTGCTCCTACCTGAAATAATCGAGGTACAGAGAAATAGGTGACTTGCTCAAGGACTCTACGTTATTTCTATTCCGTTCCAAAGTCTATGTTCTTAGTCTCTGCACTGACTGCCACCCATCTTTGCTGCTGTAAGGAAAACTACAGCCTAGCCAAAGCAAACCCAAGGCTTGCAAGCAGCAAGTCCGCCTGTCATTGCCTATGCACACCCCACCTCCTGGGGGATGGGGAAGGGGCGATCTTTGGACACTGAAACATTTTCTTTGGGAAATACTCCATATCTTTGATCATTCTAACTACAGCAGACATAAGGGATGGAAAAGATGCATTTTTTTTGCCAATGGGAAACACATCATTCACGCACATATAACGCTTGTCTTTCTCCCTGGTAGCTACAGAGCAGAGGGTGTGGGCACATGAATCTGTTTCTGTTGTCATCCAAACCAGGATACCCTTGAGAGCGAAAGATGGTAGTATTAATAATTATGCCAGAACAGGTAGAAACTGGGACGCTGCTGGACAACCTAGACTCCATGCCCACTTTAGTATCTAGTGTCTTGTGGAAGACATTTTCCCCAGAGCACGCAGATAAGGGGGCATGGAGATGGCTGTGACATTCTGGGGACCCTGAAGTCAGTTCCCAGAATCTGACCTCCTGCGAGTGTTCTGCTGGGCCTTTGGGAAGATGAGCGCCACTTTTCAGAGCCTCTCTGCTAAGAAGAGGGCTCAGAAACTCTGCTCACTGCAGAAGCACTGGCGGGATGGTCGTTCCAGGCTGGAGAGAGTGGGTACTGCCACGCTGCCCCTCACTCCATCCCACCCCGGGTTCACACGGGGGACAGTGAGCAGCAGCCGGATGTAGACTGAGCTAATGGAGTCTTCCCAGGTGGTCCTTCCTTTCAGAAAGGCCCCTCCGTCTGAGCTCCTTGACTCTGAAACCAGATAAGAAGGTGGGAGGCCTGGGCCCCTTCTGTCATGGGATTAAGTGAACTCAATTGACAGAGTTCTGGAAAACTTCATTGTCGCTTAACAGTGAGACCAGCCTCGGCAATGGCGCGTTCTTTCTCTCAGCCTCCACGGTGGTTTCTCCGTGGGATAGGGCCTCACAGTGGGCCTGGACGGCTATGAACTGCTGGATTTAAGGACCCACTCCCACAACATAAGCAAGTATCAGAAGGTCGACAGAGCGACAGACCCTCATCCTGAGAAAGAGGTTGCCTGATGGGATAACAGTGCTCAGGAATCAGCTTTGGGAGACTTGGGCTGCAGGCCCAGCCCTGCCACCTCCTGATCCTGATCAGTGCTGTCTGATCCTGCGGAAGCCATGTGTCCCCTGTGGGCTGTGCAGTCTCCCTCTGCCCCGGTCACAGGTATTTTCATGGAGGTGACGTGTGTGCAATCACACTGTGAATTGAACATGCTCAGAGAGTGGCTAAACCTTCCAGAAGACCGGCTCATCAGGAAGCAGCCACACAGGTGCTGAGACCGGGAGTGGTCACCTCGTCCAGGTGTCTTGCTTCACAGATGAGGAACGCTAAGTCCTAGAGGGGTAAAGGCTCTTCTCATCCTCACACACCCCTGATTACCAAGACACCCCAGAGTGCCTTCCCTCTGTGTGAATGAGGTCTCTACGTAAAGGACTGGCTTCCATTTGCAGTAGGGGGGTGTGGGCAGGCAAGGTCTTGAGGCACGGGAACTTGATTTTCATTCTTTCTCTCAGCTGGGCTCATGGACCTGTTTTCAGAAGCCCAGGGGCCTGAACTGAGACAGGCACCCCTGTCCTGCAGCATCTCCGAGGCTGGTCAGCTCATCACAGCAGAGGGGCCCGAAGGTGGTCCTGGACACAGCTGTCCCTCAGTCCCTCCCCCACCCGCCACGGGGGCAGCAGGAGTGCAGGTGGGCTGGGACATGAGACCCAAGGTGGAGGTGGCGGGGCTGGTCTCCCTGAGGGAAGACTTTCCTTCCAGGTGAGACTCAGAAGCCACCCCCCTACGGAGAGGAATTCGGTCTTCAGAGGTGCCCGATGCCTGTTTTGCTGTGCTGTCCTGGTCCAGGTGGGCTGGCTGGGTGTGCAGGTGTCAGTGTGCAGCTGGGAAAGGTCCAGAAATGCATGTTTGTGGGGGATGGGGAGCGGGTCGAGTAGGAGCCAGGAGTCTCATGAGGATGGCAATGCCTGGGTGTCTCCGACACAGAGGAAGCCGACTTGTCTGGGGCAGCAAACCTGGACTTTAGATGAAGGGAACAAAACCGGGTGCAAACCCCAGCAGAGTCTCCTGCTTCAGTAGCCGGGGCATCCTGGGGCCAGGCCTCAGACCGTGTCTGCCTCTAGATAGCTAGAATGTCTGGAGATGCGAGTATGTCCCTGAGGCAAATACTCAGTTATCTCCAGCATCCAGGTGATCAGCTGAGAGAGTGAGACAGTCTGGCCCTGAAGGCTGAAAAACGGACTTTCTCTGCTGGCAGAGTTCTTGTTGGCTTTCCTATGTTTTGGTTCTCAGGCAAATGTCAGAATCTGTTCCGTGTGTGGAAATAGAGGGGCACAGCACCCCGCTCTGGGTTTGCAATGGGTGCATCTTAGCTTCCTTCTGGTGGAGCCCCCTAGGAGTCAGGTGTGGGGGTCCTAAAGAGATGGAAGAAGCCCTCTTCTCACCCCTCTCCTGCCACACTCTCTAGTACTTGCTTAAAGAAAGGAGTCAGAGGAGAGGGCTGGTGCTCCCTGCTCTCAGGGCAGGCAGGGAAACAGATATTAGATCAGTGTGACCCAAAGCTCATGAGGCAGACTGCCGTGGCGGGCCGGAGCTACTCTGCCGTGCTTTGGGGGAAGCAAATACCACACGGGCTTGCATGGGTGCCTGCCTGGGGTGTAATCAGCGCCTGCAGTAACCAGAGGAGCAGCCATGTGGACTCTCACTCACAGCCCTTCCCATCCTATGCATCTGTTTCTCCCTGCGTCTTTCCAACCCTGCCTTTCCCAGTGATAGAGGGTGGGAAAGATGGGGGTGAGAAACAGAAGGCCTCCTTGTCTGGACTATTCTGCACAGGCGATGCCTATGCCCTTGGGGCCCCCAGCAGTCGGGCACAGGCTGAGCTTAGTATGGGGTCCGGGCCAAGAAAGTCATCACCACAAAGTGTCAGCTTAGCTGCCGCATTGCCAGGATCCGTGTTTCAGGGAACTATGACCTAGGCAGGTCAGTTCTTCCTTCCCTGGCACATCTCTGGTTTTGTGCTCCCTGGGGGCAAAGAGCACCCTCTCCTGGAAACCTTACCCTCCTTTCCTCCTGGAAAAGCCTTCACTTGGTCTTTAGGGGAGAAATTGGGGTTTAGGGCAACACAGACGCCTCCTGCTGAGTCAGCACCATCTTACATCTAGTTAGAAACGGTCTGGTTAGGTATCCGTTCCCTGGACTCTGTTTTTCTCCCCTGTTTAGGTAAGAGCTGTGTCTGGGCTAAGGGCAGCTGGGTGTGGGTCTGGCTTTACCAGAGACACTCACCCAACGAGCTCCTCCCAGCCCCTGCTCCCCTCGCGTTTCCACCAAAGCTTCAGTTCCTGCGCTGAGCCCCTGGGCAGGAGTTCTCTGCCCCTCCCTCTTGTGCTGGCTGCTGGCACTGCCAAGTTCTGCCGAGGCTGAGTGCCAGGTTGGCAAGGTAGTTCATGCCCCATTGATCACAACCAGCTGGCTGCACAGAAGTTGGGCAGCCCCTCTCCAGGTTCAGCTCCTTTCAAACAATGTCTTTTGCTTATGGCGACCTCCATACCCAAGGGAATCGGACAGCCATCTCTTTCCATCCCATCTGCCTTTCCCTGGGAGCCTCTCAGATCTGAGGCAGTAGAGGGCTGAGGGATGGGAGTGGGAGCTATTCCTAAATGCTCAATTTTCGTCTCTGCTGGGAGAGGCAGGTGCAGGGGAGTGCGTTGATACCCACTTTCGGGTCAGTGTGCCACGTGCCGCGGGAGATTCGGATGAGAGGGATGGGCGTCTGCAGCCCACTCGAAACTGGAAGGGACCTGGGGGTGGGGGCGCAGGGAGCTAGGGTGGCAGAGGTTCAGAAAAGAGTTATTGCTCTTTCTCAGAAAGGAGAGAATCTCGTTTGGGGTCAGGCTGGAAAAGATGAGCAGGAAGGGTTTTTTTTGTGTGTGTGTGTGTTTTTTTTTTTTTCCTCAGAGGGATTGGAAGGGGAGATTTTAGAGACGCTGGGAGGCATCTGGGGGGCCTCCGGGCACTGTGGCTGGAGGAGGCTCTCAGTCCTACCTGCAGGTCGGCCCCGTAGAAGGCAGCCATGGACGCATCGGCCACCAGCAGCGTCTCCACGAAGCGCGCCTCAGACACAAACCGCTTGGTCCTACTCGTGGCCCCCAGGGGCGGTGGCAGCTCGCTAGCGCCTTCTGCCTCCTCTTCTTGGCTCTCCTCCTCGCTGTCCTCCTCGTTGTCTCCTCTCTCCTGCCTCTGACCCTCTCCCGTCTCCACCTCCCACCCTCCTCCTCCCCGGAGGGGGCGGGCTCCGGCGGGACCCCAGCGCTGCAGGCGGTGCGGCTGACCCAGGGAGCCCCCCGCGCCCTGCGGCTGGATGGTGAACTCCTCGCCGTCCAGCAGGAAGGAGCCGCTCAGCCCGCGGCACAGGCTGACCGCCGCCAGCGACTCGGGCTCCCCATTCACGGTGCCGGAGAAGAAGCAGCCGCGCAGCCCCCGCTCGCCCCCGGTAGACCGGCCCGAGCCCCCGAGGCGCTCGATCTTGAACTCGGGCGCCAGGAAGCTGTCGTCGGGCGCCAGGCGCAGCACGAAGCCCTTGCCGAAGGCGGACAGGTGGAGCGCGAGCTCGCCCGCGCTGCCGGGCAACCGCGTGGGCACCACCAGCTCCGAGGCCTGCCCCCCAGCTGCGGGCCGGGCCGGGGCGCCGCGGGCCAGCGGCGGCAGCAGCAGCAGCAGCAGCAGCAGGAGCGGAGGCCACCGGGGGGCGGCGGGGGCGGGGAGCATGGGGGCTGCGGCGGTGACTGCGCGCGGGAGAGGGAAGAAGCCCGCCAGGCGCGGGCAGGTGCTGGCTGGCCGAGCGCGGCCCGGCCGCTCTCTCCAGGAAAAGCGGAATCAATCGGATGCAAGGCCGACTCGGCCCGCAGGGCCCGGCGGCGGGAGCGCTCCCCCGGCGGCCCCTCTGGCTGGCGCAGCCCGCTCCTCCCGAGCCGCCGCCCCCGAGCCGAGCGCGAGCAGCTGGCCCCGGCCCGCGTGCGCCCGTCCTCCGCCCCTGCCCGCGCCAGCCCCGCGCAGCCGCCTCCTGCCTCCTCCCCGCCCCGGGAAGCACCGAGTGGGCTGCCGAGCCCTTCTTATTTATACTTCCTTCCCGGCTTGACATAAGAGGTTTATTTTTGATCTCTCACTATTCCCGTTTCCCCTCCCCTGGGATCAGAGAGAGAAACTGAAAAGAGGGAGAGAGCGGAGAAAAAAAAATTGGGATGAAATGCAAAACCAATCAGGCAGCGAGACCCGTCCGCCACCCTCCCCCCTGAACTGTCAACTCCAACTTCGTTCCTTCCCTTTACGCGCGGACCCACGTTAACCCCTACCATGCTGGACTGACCCTTTAGAAAGAGTCCTTGGGAGACCCCAGCCGCTTCCTCCTCTGCGGCCAAGAGTCCAGGATGCATCCTCGGAAGAGGCTCGTGCACTGGTCTCAGCGACCCTGTTCGGATCCCTGCAGAGTCCGACTGCAGAGCCCCACACTGTTCGGATCCCTGAAGTCCCTCCGGAGATCCGACTGTGTGGGGAGAAGGTTCCAGAGCTTTTCATTGTAAAGCACAACAGAGAGAGGGGAAAAGGTCATGCTGAAATCATGCCCTCCTCTCATCACTACTAAACAGCCTGCCTAACTTTTACTCCAAACTGAAGATCGGGAAAACAAACACAAAGCAAAAAACAACCCACCTGGTTAACCCTAAGAGGGACTCTCACTGCCATGTTAGAGGGCAAGTGGGGCAGAGGCCAGCACAGTGGTAAGTCACCAGCAGTGAGGTTGGGAAGTCAGCATTTCCCCAGGAGGGGAACAGACCTCCAGTCCCTGAGAAGGGTCTTCTCTGCTGGATACTGCTAGTTGCCCAGGACTTCATGTAAGATCCTTTCACTGCATTGCCCACAGCCCCGGGTACAAATGTGTAAGAGGTGAATTCATTCTGTCCCATGTCACCGCTGCCCCCTGGGGAAGGGGGTAGTACTCAGGAAGAGAGGGATGACCTGGTCTCAAGACCACAAAACTCCATCCCACCCCAGTCTCAATGGCACAGGTCTGGATTGGGTGGAGGGTCCTGTTCTCTACCCATAAACTCTAGACTCACCCACCAACTGTCTGAGTTGTCAATGTGGGTGATGCATTAGGAACTGCTGGGATCAGGGTCTTTAAATCCTTTGCCAATTCACCTGCCCCCAGGTGCCCAACTCTGTGCTTATGCTGGGGATGCTGACAGTCGAGGTCATCGCTGGTTGTGTTCAGTCCATCTGAGCCCTTTCTGCAGCTGTGGGGGTTCAGCATGCACCTGGGACTCTCAGGGCTTGTTAGCTCCAAAGAGAAGGCTCTTGCCCAGGGGAAAGTGCTGCCAAATTCCCTCTAAGTATCCCCCCTCTCTTTGCTTTCTCAGAAACACAGAGGGACAGCTGTGAATTAGATGAAAGGATGAACTTCCCACCCTAACATGTGCAGAAGCTCCTTTCCTGCATGACATATAGGATAGGAGGAACTTGAGTCTAGAATGTTTTGGGGAAACACTTCTAGGGACAGGAGAATGGAAACAATGGTCTCTTCAACCCTTTTCTCAAAACAAGCAAAACACTTCATCCCAGCACAGTGTACAGTGCTCGGGACATCCTGTACAGTGCTTGGGACAGTCTGACCTGGGCAAGCAATGAATACAATTCTGTGTTGCCTCAGGGCTGTTGTAACAGTTCAATGACTGGTTTTTACCTCCTTGAAGCCCCTTATTTGCTGTTTCCCAGAGTACAACTCCTGATTTTCTTTTTTTTTGACTCTCACTTTGTTGCCCAGGCTGGAGTGCAATGGCGCGATCTTGGCTCACAGCAACTTCTGCCTCTCAGGTTCAAGAGATTATCCTGCCTCAGCCTCCCAAGTAGCTGAGACTACAGGCGGGCACCACCACACCTGGCTAACTTTTGTATTATCAGTAGAGACGGGGTTTCGCCATTTTGGACAGGCTGGTCTCCAACTCCTGACCTCAGGTGATCTGCCCGCCTCAGCCTCCCAAAGTGCTGGGATTATAGGTGTGAGCTACTGTGCCAGCTAACTCCTGATTTTCAGTAGCAGTTAGGTCCTGTAGGTTTTCCTTCTTTCTCGAGTGTAAGCATCTGGGAGGAGTGGGATTGAGGAGCATGCCCCGTTTCCCTTTCTCCTGCCTGGATGCTAAGGGCCAGAAGTGGGAGATTTAACTGGACCAAGGGAAGTCCTGAGTGTCCATGGAGCCTTCAGTTGTGAAGGCTCTGGAAGTTGCTGCTTAATTTTTATTTTATTTTTAAATTTTTTTGAGATGGTGTTTCACTCTTGTTGCCCAGGCTGGAGTGCAATGGCGAGATCTTGGTTCACTGGAACCTCCGCCTCCCGGGTTCAAGTGATTCTCTCGCCTCAGCCTCCCAAGTAGCTGGGATTACAGGCTCCCACCACCATGCCCTGCTAATGTTTGTTTTTTTTGGTAGAGACGGGGTTTCACCATGTTGGCCAGGCTGGTCTTGAACTCCTGACCTCAAGTGATTTGCCCACCTCGGCCTCCCAAAGTACTGGGATTACAGAGCCCAGCCACTGCTGCTTCATTTTTTAAAATAGGATGAAGTGCCCCCATGGGTAGCATTTTGGAAGTTCTCTTTGGAGAGAGAAGTCAGTGAGTTCTGGACTTTATACTTCCTCATTTTAACAACAACGACATCACCAACACCACCACCACCACCCACCGCTGCCGCCGGCGCCGCCACCGCCACCACCACCACCTGCTGACTGGCTGATTGACTGGCGGGGCAGCCCCCTCTCCCTCCTGAATTTCCCCTTCCCCAGATGTGCAGTGCTGCTAACTTCCCAGGTAGCTCCTGCCGTTCGCAATGCAACCACAAGGTGTCAGGCTTACCTTGGCTATGTTAAACCCAGGACCCTTGCCGCAGGGAGAAAGAAAGGGTGGGTAGTTTGTAGTGGAAGCTCTTAGAGGAATGGCAGATGAAAACAGTACAGCAAAACAAACATCCACAGATCAACCCGTGAAAATCCCACAACGGCATTCTGCCAATTCCGGATTTCTTACATTACTACTTTATTTCCCAAAATATATAATTACAGCAGGGTTGCCAAACTACGGCCCGTGGGCTAATTGCTGCACACTGCTTGTTTTTTTTCCACTCTACAAGCTAAGAATAGTTTTTATATTTTTAAGTGGTAAATTAAAAAAATTAGAAAGAATATTAAAATTTCTTGACACTTGAAAATGGTATGAGATTCAAATTTGTGTCCATAAAGTTTATTGGAATGCAGCCACAGCCATTCATGTACGCATTCTTTGCTCTTGAGCTGTGAGGGAAGGGTTGAGTAAGCCTAAAATATTTACTATCTGGCTCTTTGCAGAAAAGTTTGCTGACTCCTGAATGTAAAATAGCATCAATTTGGATTCCTCAAATTTGGAATCTGGGATTACTTAAGCTCACTATATACCATTCTTACGGAATAAGAAGCTCAAAATAATTTCTTGCTCTGGATGTGAAAAGGAAATTATATAAAAAATGAAAGCATCTTTGTTTTGTCTTTAATTCTGTATCTAGTAGTTACTTGTTATTTAATTCATCCTTAAATAATTAAAATATTTTTATGTTTATGGAGTCTTATACTGTAGGCCTATTGTGATTTTTACGTTTTTAATCAACTTACATTATTAGTGACTGGTTATTTCTTAGTTTATAACTAGAGTTTTATATGGTATATATGATACATTTTTAGTGTGTGTAAGTTCCAGTATTCTTTAGAATTCCAGACTGCTTAAAATGGGAAGAAACATTGGTGATCATCTAATCCACTGCCACTCACATTTTGCAGAGAAGAAACAGAAATTCAGAAGTGTCAGTGACTTACCCAAAATAACATAGCTAGTGATGAATTGCTTTTTCCAAATTACTCTCATATCTCCTACATGAAGGTAAAAAAAATTGTTTTGCTTTAGAACTTCATTTGCAATTTGTACATTTTCATTAAAGTTTAGTGTTTACTATGGGCCTGGGCATTGTTCTGAGGATTTTTTTTTTTTTTTTTTTTGAGACGGAGTCTCCCTGTGTTGCCAGGCTGGAGTGCAATGGTGCGATCTCGGTTCACTGCCACCTCTGCCTCCTCCTGGGTTCAAGTGATTCTCCTGCCTCAGCCTCCCGAGTAGCTGGGACTACAGGCATGCATCACCACGGCCAGCTAATTTTTGTATTTTTAGTAAAGACGGGGTTTCACCATATTGGCCAGGATGGTCTCGATCTCTTGACCTTGTGATCTGCCCACCTCGGCCTCCCAAAGTGCTGGGGTTACAGGCGTGAGCCACTGCACCTGGCCGCACTTATTTTAATTTAATTTACTTTTCGTTCAATCCTCAGTAATAATAGCTTCCATCTTTTGAGTGCTTGCCGTGCACTAGGCACTGTGATGAGCAGCTCATTTAATCATCATGCCAATCTCTGAAAAAGACATCTTACAGACAGGTAAAGAAATAGGTTTGAGAGGTTAGAGAACTTGCTTATGCTAAGAAGCAGCAGAGACAGGATTCTTAACCAACGTGGAATTCATAAACTGGGAATTCAATGTAACAGTTTTCTGATGAGATTGCGGTACACTGAATCTTTGAGTAGAACCAAGGATTGAATCATTGCATTGCAAACCTGGAAGAGACTCCAGGTGTTCACTGGGCCTGTTGTTGGAGATCTTGGGAGAATGGCACTGCTTTAAAAATCTCAAAGAAGGGAATAAACAGCCTCTCTCAAAAGCCTGTGCTAGCACTTAAATAAAAACAGAGTTCTTTCTTTCTAAATAAAGTAATACCATTTTTGCTACAATTCATGTCAATTTTCTGTAAGTTTGGCTATTGTGCAATGGCTGTGACTCCACATTGCCTGTAATAAAGGATTTTCTTGTCCTCATCTATCATATCACTGAGCACACATCCCAGGCAGGCAATGTCTGATTTTTGGCATCACTTTTGTGCTAACAGTTGCCTTGTATTCCCTTTGACATTCAGGTTTCTGTGATTGTCACCTGCATGTATGGAAGCATTTCTGTGCGCTTAATTCTTTCTTAGTCCTAGATAGTCTCTCTTTTTGGAAACTTTAAAGTTTTTCAGTATTTATAATTTTTTTTTTTTTTGAGACAGAGTCTTACTCTGTCACCAAGGCTGGAGTGCAGTGGCATGGTCTTGGCTCACTGCAATCTCCGCCTCCCAGGTTCAAGCAATTCTCCTGCCTCAGCCTCCTGAGTAGCTGGGATTATAGGCGCCCACCACTATGCCTGGCTAATTTTTGTAATTTTGGTTGAGATGGGGTTTCACCATGTTGACCAGGCTGGTCTTGAACTCCTGCCCTCGGCCTCCCAAAGTGCTAGAATTACAGATGTGAGTCAGCCACCATGCCTGGCTGGAAATCATTAAATCATATCCCTGAGGCCACTTTAAGTTCAATCTCCTGTAAAGTGCTAGCTACTCTGATTATTTTTCCTGCCATCCTCTGGTGTTCACAGCCTCAATGGACATGCTCCGGATTCTGTGATCTATATCAGGGAAAACCAGATCTAGCAGAAACTCTACTGCAATATCGACACTGTCTTGCTTGCTAATAAGATTTTAATTGATTTTAATACACCGAGAAACAAATTCACAAACAACCCTTTCTGTTCCTGCCGTTTGTATTTTTGGTGACTAACTGCCAAGTACTGGGTTCCCAAAGTTGCAGAAGAGACGGTCCCTGTTCTCCAAGATACAGTCTTGTGGAGGAGTCTAGCAAGACACTCGTAAAAGGTTGCCCAAATTCCATGTGTGATGCGTCCATGATTACAATCTGTGGTTACTACAGTACCCGGCCAGTAAGAGTTACTTGCACATTTTAGTATTATATGCAGTAACAATTGCCACCGTGAGAACCGACACATAGGTCATGCCTGTCTCACCACATCATAATGTGCCACCAGAAGGTGGCACTGTTGGAACTTGCTGTCGCTTGCTCGCTCGCTGGCTCTCTGTCTCGCAACTTTCTAAAAAATTAGGCATCACTACCGTGTCATGCAAGTCTAAAACAACAGTCCTTCAACATTGTTCGAAAAATCTAAGCACACAGCAATTCCTCACAGCCAATCACCGGAGCCAGTTGAAGGAGACGCTGTCCTGTTCCTTTGTTTACCGTGAGTCGTGCGTCTTTCCTTCCTATTCTTCTTTCTTCACTTTGATTTCTGCTCTTCGTGACACCAGTGTCTCCAATTATTTCACAGGCTAGGAGAGCTGACAAAGCTGAGATGTCTCCAGGGCCGGGGACCACCTTAATCATAAGGACTGCTTGGTTTCTGTACACCCCAATTAATTAATGCAAACGTACATTTCTCCCAAATCTTCACTATTGATTCTAACCACCAGGTGGGAGTCTTGGCATATTTACCTTTTCTAGGTCCTATAAGAAGAGGGTCTGAAAACTCCCTGAACAATGGATCTCACTAGCTACTTAGTGTATGTATGTGTGTGTATATATATATGTAATATGTGTAAATGTATTATGCAAACTTGCAAAACTACACCCATTTATCTTTGTTTCAGAAGGAAAGAAAAGAGAAATGCAGGAAAGGAGCCAGGATCTTCAGGATCTGGGGTGATTTCTCTGAGCAGATAAGCTGCTTATTGAAAGTCATTGTAACAAGTCCCAATATAAGTCCCATTGTAACAAGTCCCTTTTACGAGGGACTTGTAAAAACTACCCAGTTCTTATAAATGTGCTTACAATGCGTCAGAGCTGAAGTGCTGAGAAGCCTACTTGGCAGGCAGTAGGCATGTT